CGCAGGCTCTGGTCAGCACACCCACAGTTCTAGCCCTAATATCTTGAATTCTCCTTTTCTGCTTTATGTTGCCCTGTGGCTCCAGTGTGTGGTGCCTTCCACCAGGTAATCTCGTCTGCTCTGCTCACTGTGAGGGCCAGGCGCCATCCCTGGGCTCTGGACTGTGAGCTCTCAGCCCCCAAACCCTGCAGGCATCCCGGCAGACGCTCAAGCACCGACAGCCCTGCACACTGCTCCTGCAACACGGCGAGGCCCCAGGGACACGGGCACCTCACCGGCCCCTCAGTGTGTCTCTTTGGCCTGCGTGGGCCAGTCCACACAGCACGGCTGCCGGAAGCCACTGTGACCTGGGGGTAGGGGTGCTTTCCCTGCGATGATTGCTGGCAAGCCCTCCTGGGTGGCAGGGCACTGCACTCTTTGCTCATCCCTTTCCAAATCCACCTGGATATTTGAGGACCTTTTTCACTCCGGGTAGATTCTACAATGAGTTTGCCAACTTCCTCTAAAGCTCTCACCAGCTGCCGTCAGCCTGGGGGAGCCACGCCTATGTGTGCAATGCCCCTTCCCTCTCTGAGTGCTCCTCTGCATCCCTCCAGCCCGCTGCTGGAGACGTGGGTATTCACCATGCAGCTTCAACACAGCCGGAGACGTGGTCGTTTTCCGGTGGTGGTCCAGCGTGTGGAAGAACGGCGCTGACTTCGGGCTGCTCTAGCCAGGGCTCTGCGGGGCTGTCCCGTCAGCGCCCGCGGCTCCTCTGTTGGTTCAGTTGGATTCTCTACATAGGGGGTTATCTCTTCTGCAGTCTTTTGTCCCCCACAAGGCTGCCCCTGGGTCAGACACGTTCCGGGTCCTACCTAGGGACATTCAGGCACACAGTCGGTGCCCGTCCTGAACTCAGGCATACCTGGGGGCAGGATGCGTGTCCAGTGTCCAGCAGGAGCTGTGCCCAGGTGAGTGGCCAGCCCCGGGGCAGCTGCTCTGCTTCTCCACGCTGGCCCTAGCCTCCTTAAAATCATCCTCGGTCTCTCTGTTCCCAGGGCTTCAGCTGGCATCCCTGCCACCGCAGCGTCCATCTCTCTGCACCTGGGCCAGGCAGGTGCCCTGGATCTCTGGTTGCTCTGAGAAGTCACCCTGCTGCCCAGAGCTCAGAGCTGCTGCCTGGGACGCCCCAGGACGTGGCTGACCGCGGGTATCCGGCTCCCTAGGAGCCCTGGGTGCTGCCATGCTAGGGAGAGCTGGGAGGGGGCAGAGAGCACGGCCTACCCTCCGTGGTCACGGGCCCCTGAGCCCTGCCTGTCTGTCCATCTTGCTTCCCATGGCCGGGAGCCTCCCAGGTCCCCTCATCTGGGCAGAAGCTGGCCACAGTATGGGCCCGGATATGGACCCCTGGACGCATGGCGGGACACCACTTCTCCATCAGCCTGGGGGAAGTTTTGGCTCCTGGAGGGGGGCCCAGAGTCATGAGCATCCAGCCTTGACATGACATCTCCACTAAGGCCATACTCCAGGTGGCCTCCTGGCACAGGAGCATGGGGGGCGGGGCAGGGGCCACCCAGGCCAGCCCTGGCCTCTTCCCGCTCACGTCCAGGAGTGGGGAGCAAGGGCAGGCTGGCAGCTGCCAAGGTGTTGGGGGCCACGCCCAGCTCTGTGGCTCTTTCCGGAATGGTGACTTGCATAACCAGGGCCGGGGCTGTGGCGACCGGGGAGGCGACTGCTCTCTCCCAGGGACCTGCTATCCGGTTACCTCCAGCCACTCTGTTGTGTTCCAGGCAGGGAGGGCTGGGCGGGAGGCCGTGGGGCCAAGCTAACCCCAGGAGGTGGAGGATTAGTCAGCAGTCCCCACCCCACCCTGAGAGGAATTGGCAGCTTTCTAGGATACCTGATCCACCCTGGGCACAGTGGTGCTGGTTAAGGTGCCCTGCAGCTGTGAGGTCAGGGGGTCAGCTGAGCGCTGGATCCGATGGTTCTTGGAGCGGGAGCTCCCCGGCTGTGCTTCCTGCCTGGCTGCCAAGGGGATACGGGTCGAGGCTGGGGAGCCCTCCCTGCCCCACCTGCTCCCCCCAGGAGTCAGGCTTGGAGGCAGCCCCACTGCCCAGCTGTCTGGGAGCACACACTGGGCCAGGGCAGGTGGGTAGCTGGGGAACTGGACCTGGGGGGTCCTGGGCACCCCAGCCCCGAGACCTGTCAGAATAACCCCCAGATGTGAGCCGAGGCTGGAGCCATGGAGGCCTCGCTGCCTGTCATTGGGTCAAAAATCCTGGTGCAGGGACTGGGCCGGCCTTGCCCTCTGACCTCCCAGTACCTGCAGATGTGGCCTGCGGGCAGGAGGGACTCTGGGACTGACCTGGCCTCTTCACAGGGCCAGGCACAAAGTGGTGGGAGGGGCCGTGGCCCTCTGGCCCAGCCCAAGCCCTTCAGGCCGCCATGTGCCTGTAAGCCATGAGGGGTGTCCTCAGCCTCCCAGGGCCATGGGCCAGCCTTGAGGGATGTGGGCCGAGTCCCGGGACGCCCCTGGCTCTGCGGTGCCTGGAGCCTGGGCCTGAGCGGGCAGGTGCCGGGGCCGACTGTGCTGCCACCTCGTGGTGACTGCAGGGAGCGCGACTGCACGCCTGAGAATGGAAGGTCGGTCGGTTCCCCAGACCCCACCCCGCCGCCGGGCCTGGAGCCTGAAACTGAGGCAGGGAGAGATTGGAGCAATGAGCGTGGCCGAAGTCCAGGAGGGCTGGGAAAAGCGCCTACCCAGACACGGACGCGAGGCCGGGCCCCTATGTCCACCTTGCTGATGGTGAATCCACCACCAGCCCCTCAGCCACTCCACACCATGCCCAAGGTGCACAAGTCCCTGAGGCCCTCTCTGGCCCAGAGGGACACTGAGGCCACCTGAAGCCATGGGAGGCCCAGGGAGGACCCTGAGCCCCAGAAAGTCACCAGGGTGCTGGTGCCCGCCACGTCACCGCCTCCACTCTGGGCGCAGCTTCCCACCTACCTGTCCCACCATCAGGCGTGGAGGGCTCCAGATGTTCCTGGGCCTTTCTGTGTGGGCCACAGGCCTAGCCAGGGCTGACCACAGCCCTCCTTGTCTTTCCGCCGCTGGCCCTGTCTAGGCAGTGGGCCCCCCAGCCCCGCTAGGCTCAGCCTGGGCTCTTCCAGACCCCTCTGCCCACTCCTGGGATGTGGAGCCAGTGCTTCCTGCTCTCCTGGCACGGCTGTGTGGCCGAGGCAGGGCCCAGTCAGTGTCCTGGGGGATCTGCGGGCTCCCTGGAGCCCTTCAAGGAGAGACTGCTGGGCATCAGGAACATGGAGGCTCCGGGGAGGGGTGGCGGTGGTCAGAAAGAACTAAGAGAGAGACAAGCTTCCAGGGCCCAGCCCACCCTCTGCAGAGCGTCCGGCACCCTCTGTGGGGTTGCTGACCTCCCGATTGCCTACAGATACACTCAGGAGTGTGCACACCCCAAGCTCAGCCCCAGTGATGGCATGTCTAGGAACTGCGCAGAGATGGAACCCCCCATCCCAGAATGCCTCCATCAGCAGGGGCAGCCTTCCCGTGTCAGAGGCCCTCGCCTGGGCCATGAGGTGCCCTGGATGCCCGGGCTGGCCCCATTCCCTGCTGACTCCCTCCCTTATACATTCATTCATCACTCATTCACTCACTCATTCATTTGCTCACTGATTCACTCATTAACTCACTCATTCACTCATTAACTCACTAATTCCCTTATTCACTCACTAATTCACTCACTCTCTTTCACTCATTCTTTCACTCACTCATTCACTCCTTCATTCATTCACTCATTCACTCACTCACTCATTCACTCATTCATTCACTCACTGATTCACTCATTAATTCACTCATTAATTCCCTTATTCACTCACTAATTCACTCACTCCCTTTCACTCATTCTTTCACTCACTCATTCACTCCTTCATTCATTCACTCATTCATTCACTCATTAATTCACTCATTCACTCATTCACTCACTAATTCCCTTATTCACTCGCTAATTCACTCACTCCCTCATTCACTCACTCATTCATTCACTCACTCATTCACTCACTCATTCACTCACTCATTCACTCATTCACACATTCATTCACTCATTCACTCACTTATTCGCTCATTCATTCACTCATTAACTCATTCACTCATTTGCTCATTCACTCATTAACTCATTCACTCATTCATTCACTAATTCCCTTATTCACTCACTAATTCACTCACTCCCTCATTCGCTCACTCACTCACTCATTCACTCACTCATTTGCTGATTCACTCACTCATTCGCTCATTCATTTATTTATTCACTCACTCATGCACTCACTCATTTACTCATTCACTCATTCACTCACTCATTCACTCATTTGCTCACTCATTCACTCATCATTCACTCATTTGCTCACTCATTTGCTTACTCACTCATTCACTCATTCATTCTCTCATTTGCTCGTTCACTCATTCACTCATTCACTCATTCACTCACTCCTTCACTCATTCATTCATTCACTCAGTTATTCACTCATTCGCTCACTCATTCACTCACTCATTCACTAACTCATTCATTCACTCATTCACTCAGTCATTCAGTCACATATTCATTCACATTCACTCACTCACATTCACTCACATGCACTCATTCACTCACACATTCACTTATTCATTCACTCATTCATTCACTCACTTATTCACTCACTCATTTATTCACTCATTCATTCTCTCATTCTCATTCACTCACTCTCTGTGTTCTGACAGATGCATCTTGGACTCTAGACTGCAGCCAAGCCCTCAATGACCTCTGCAGAGTGGTGGTCTCTTCTTGGGGCAGATCCAAGCTCTGGCGTCTCCTCTCTGAGCAGATGGACACTGTCCCACCCAACCCACAGAGTCAGCAGGGCTGCCCAGTGCTGGGTGGTTGGCCTGAGATGTGCACCCTCTGGAGCCCAGGTCTATCCCCACCCTGTTCCTGAGTTTTATGAACAAGCTCAAAAAATGTACAGTACACAAATTGCAAAATGCTCAAGTGTATTTATGCAACAGATTGGCCATGTCCTGAGGAGGGGGGTGCAGGCTGAGGGCTGAGGTAGGAGTGAGGCTTTTCCTCCTGCAGCCACTGGGCAGCCTATCACCACATCCAAGCATCGTTGCTGAGACCCTCAGGTGATACTCAAGTCCCGAGAACAGCAGACTGGACGCATGGCCAGAGGAGCCCCACCGGCCCTGGGCTGGTCCTGAGAGGTGGCTGCAGGCGGGGCGGGTAAGGGCCCCTCCTCCAGGCAGTGGGTGACCCACAGCCCACACCCTCCACAAGAAAGCGGGCGTGGACAGTGTGTTCAAAGCTGCAGCTGCCTGGATGAGGGCACAAGTTCCACTGGCCTTGGAAGCCAAACTCGGAGGACATATGGGAGGTCCTCCTTGGGGGTCAGGAGGGCGGCGGTGCTGGTCAGTGGATGGGGGACACCGGGGTGCCTCTCTCCCAGCCCCCACTCCCCGCCTCCTGGCTCTGCTCGGGTCCCATCTCCTCCGAGTGCTGGGTGTTGCCCGGCGCGGGGCACCGCCGGCCCATGCAGCCGCACTGTTCCACCTCGGTGAAGCTGAAGGTCCGGCTGGAGCCGTCGGCGCAGTGCAGGGTCACATTCCTCAGCGAGGTCCGCAGCTCCTGGCAGCACTGGCACCTGTGCTCCACCATGTTGCCCTCGAACGAGTACCTGTGGGCAGGGACTGCTCAGCACCTCCTGCTGCAAGCTGGCACCGTGTGGAGCTCCGGGCAGTCCCACCAGCTGCTGTGCTGGGACCATCCCAGCCTTGTGCTGCAAGCTGGCACCGTGCGGAGCTCCGGGCGGCCCCATTGTGTTCCCTACTCCTGGAGGCGTGCTGCCAGTGTCTGACAACCAGCTCTCATTTGCCAGTTCCCCAGGCGCCAACAGTCCCACCAGGGCCGACTCCAGCCCCATGCTGATGGGAGGGAGGGAGACTCGGGGCAACTGCAGCAAGTTACCGACGGAGCTCAGTAAACAGAGGCGCGTGATGCCGACACAGGCTCTGGGACTGTGGTCGCCCCAGCCCCACCCTCGCCATCTCAGGACCCTTTTCCCACCTCACCCTCAGAGCCCTTTCCCTGGCCCCTCATGGTCCTGCCCCTCATCTGTCTGGCACCCAGAGCCCCGGGGGCCTCGACTGCACCCCACAGTCAATTGCGTCTCCCTGCCCACTGCCCAGGCACGTACATGGAAGAGCTGTCCCCACAGTTCCCCCGGCAGTAAGCCAGGCGCACGGGCTCCGAGGAGTTGCAGCCCTGCTGCTGGATGATCTGACTCCTGTGGTACACAGCACAGGTCGACTCTGGGGAGGAACACAGGGTTTAGGACCAGCCCAGCTGCTCCTGGACTTCTGAGGGTGGAGCCCACCCTGCCCAGCAGGCTCGGCACTTACGGTTCTGGTACTGGGGTGGGAGCGGGGGCGGCGGGCAGAAGCGACAGCAGCCGTCCTTGCTCATGCGGGCCTCGTCCTGTGCCAACAGAGGAGTGCCCTCAGTGTCGAGGTGCTCGGCGGCCCCCGCAGAAGTGGGGGACGGGGACATGGGGCCAGGCTCGGGAGTGGACAGCCCCAAGCAGGAGAGAGTGTCTGCTGGCACTGCAGTGATGATCACAGCCCCCCAAACCCATCTGGGGCTGAAGCCCCCTTGGCTGGGGCAGGGGTCCTGGACCTCACCAGAGAACAGCTGAGCGGGGGGCACGCCTTCTTCGTGGTGACCACCACGAGCCCGTCCAAGTGCTTCTCACACTCATAGGTGACACAGTGGTTCCCGGGGTCTGACCAGGTCTCGCCGGGCTGGAGGGAGGCCAGGCCCCGGGGTGAGTGACCCTCCCTCCATCTGTCCGTCTGTCTGCACCCCAGCCTGTGGGCTTCCAGAGGGTCCCCAGCCTCTGCCAGACGCATGCCTGGCTCCGGGGTGTAACAACAGGTCTCCAAATGCCTCAGTACTCCCAGACCCTGCCCTTCTTCTTTGTGGCAGCCATTACTCACATAGAAGAGGTGGGCGGAGCTCCCGCTGGTGTTGGTGACACAGGCGACCTGCACACAGGTGCCACAGCACTGCCCGCTCTGCTCCTGGTACTCAAAGCCCTGTGGGAGGGATGGACATGTGGCTGGAGTCCAGAGGACCACTGCCCTCCAGGGGCCAGGACGGGGTGGGGGCAGGGCAGGGGCACTCACCACAGGGCAGTGTGAGTTGCAGATCTGGGCCTCACAACTGACCACAAACGTGTCCGACAGGGGGCCGCCAGGCAGCTCACACCTGCAGGTTTCACACAGGCTCGAGGACACCACGGCGCCAGGCTGGGAAGAGCCAGGGCAGCAGACACTCTGCTGAGGGCCCATGAGCTTGGGCCCTGAGGAGACCTGCCCCCTGCCTCCCAACTGGTTTGCTGCCCCCACCTTCCCAGACATCCGCCTCCAGGCCGCTTCCTATCAGGCTGACTTGCACCCCTGGGGTGACTCTTGGTGGCACCTCCTGGTACAGAGGCCACAGCCCAGGGTCCCCATCCCTAGGGCAGAGCCCCACGTTGCACCCCCATGGATGGGGGCCACATGCTCAGGACAGAGCCATGGGATGCAAGCCTGGCTGTGCTGTGGTGCCAGGAGAGGCAAAGCCCCCCGGAGTCAGGCAGGCCAGGGTGTAGATGTCCACATTTCCGGGGCCTGGGACCGACCTGGGGCCTCAGCCACACTTAATAGTGGGCTGTGTCCGCAGAGACTAAAGTCCCTGACCCCAGTGGGGGTTGGCAGGTGCTCCGAAGTCTACCTGGGCCCTAGAGTCAGCAGGAAGCTCCGTCCCTGTGGCTGTGGGGGTCTGAGCTCTGCGGCTCTTACCTGGTACAAGGTCCCGTTGATGCTGCACTCTGTCCAGTCTGCCCAGGAGAAGACAAGCAGCTGCACCCCCTGCCACCCGTCCTCCCCTCACCCTCGGCATTCCCACCCCTGCAGCCTCCTGGGCGCCTCATTCCCAGGCTCGTCACTGGGGTTTGTCAAGCCTTGTCCCTGCGGAAGGCTCAGTCCAGAGCCACAGACTGGCAGTGGACAAGCCGCAGTGGTATCTGGTTATCTGGTTATGGCCCCCCAAAATCCCAGGTGGAGACCCCAGCCCACGGCCCATGACAAGGTCTGGTCCAGGACACTCACTGCAGTTTTGGACCGGGCAGCAGTCCCCCTCCTCGTGGGTCAGGATCGCATGGGCACCCTCAGGACAGTCCACGGGTGCAGGGCAGTGGCTGGTGTTGCAGGCTGTGGGGGCGGAGGGAGGCAATTGGGAGTCTGTCCCCTGCCCCTGCCCAAAGGCCCACCCCCGGGGTCTACAGGATTGCAGACTGTCCAGACAGCCCGCTGGGGGGTCTCCAGATGAGGCTGTTGCAGGATCAGAGAAGGGGGCACCCTCATAGGCACTGCCCCCAGGTGCGTGCCCCAAGGCAGCAGCAAAGGCCGGGCCGAGTGGGCTCCGGGTCACCTGCCTGCCACGCCGTGCCTCCCACCCAGCCAAGGGCTTACCGCAGTTGTACTGGGGGCAGCACTGGCCGGCCTGTGGGGCTGCAGGCACAGGCACGAAGCCGGGCAGGGGGCAGGCAGGGGGCAGCGGGCAGAGCTTGGGTCGGCAGGTCAGCGTCCACGTGGCCGCCTCACACGTACACTCCTGGCAGTCCCTGCCGACGGTGTGGCCCACCTGCGAGGGAGAGGCCTGAGGTCCAGCATCCACAGCGGCTGCACCCAGGGGCGCAGCAGCCAGGCTGGCTCATGCAGTGTGGAGGCCGTGTGGTCTGCAGCTGAGGACCCCGCAGGAGTAGAGCTTCTAAAGTGCAGGGTGGGCCAAGCATGGGCAGGAAGCTCTGCAAGGTGGGCGGGCTGTGGGGTGACTGGCCTGCGCCCCCACCTCACACTGCCTCAGTCTCAGCTGGGCAGAAGGGGGTCCCAAGGAAGGGAAGAGTATGGCCAGCCTCGGGGCCGGGACCCACACAGCAACACCAGGACAGAAGCCCTGGCATGGTCCCCAGTGCGGGCAGAGTGGGTACCTGGGAAGGGAGATCCCCGAGTCTTTCTGGGAGCCTAACTCCTCCCATGGCGGACACCCCGTCCCCTAAGCCTCCTCTGACCATTTCTGGGGCTAGTGTTTCCAGAGCCTCCCTCCTTAGGCTCTTGGACTCCAGTGCCCTCTCGGGCCACACCTCCCACTCACCTTCACCGGCTCTCCGTGGGGCCCCAGACACCCTGGAAGGAGAGAGATCTGAGGTCACGGGGGGTCAGCCGCCACGACAGGGGCAAGGGGCAGGGTCCCGTGTTGGGGCCAGGCGGACCCCAGGACCTGGCCAACAGTCACAGGCCCAGTCCTGCCACCCCACTAGCCCCAGCCTGGGGCACGTACTGGGGCAGCCCGTGGGCACGCAGACTTGGGCACTGGTGCTGAAGAAGGTCATGCCCTCCGGACAGAAGCAGCCTTCGGTGATGGGGCCGGCCTCCGGCAGGGCCCTGTGGAGAGCATAGGGTTGATGGATGTCTTTTTTCCCTCCAGGTGGGAAGGGCCCCAGCCTGGGAGTGGGAGACGCAGCAGGAGGCTGGGGTCCGGGTGGCTGCAGCGGCCCACAGCAGGGCCAGGAGGGACGGCGCCTACCCGAGGCTGGCGCTGTCGTTCCCATAGCAGTAGGAGGGGTTGCTCGGGCCGCAGGGCTGGTACACCTTGTCGGCTGGGCAGGTGAAAGCTGTGGGGAGGGGAGGTCACACCTGAGAGGGAGGGAGGGCACCCACCCAGAACAACATGGGCCGCTGGGCACCAACATCTTCTCCAGAGCTGCCCGCAGCCACCCGTGGGCCTGGGCCTGGCCACGGCCTGCCACACCCGGGGGCCCCGTCACGGGCTCCCCGATGTGGACACCCTCCTTTCTCTCCAGGGAACCAGGAACACTCTGTCCTGGGGCTGACCCCTCCTCCTCCAGGTCCCACCCTGCCTGCCCGAGCCCACCCTAAGGGTCTGCCTGGCGTACCTGTGCCCCTCACAAGCGACTTGGGACCCTGAGGACAGTGGGGGAACTCACGGCACATGTGGTTGGTCCGGCCTCTCCAGTCGATGCAGACGTCTTGGGACGCGCAGAGCGCCGCGTACAGCTCCAGGCTGGAGCACACCGTGTCCAGGTCGGTCCTGTGGCACTGGTCGAAAGTGCAGCCCTCATAGAATGGCAGTGGCGGGATCACGGCGTGGCACGGCTCAAAGACCCTGTAGGAGGGACGCGTGGGGTGCTGAGTGCAGCCTCTCCGGCCACCTGCTGCTCCACGTCAGACTCCCAGGCTTCAGGGCAGTCCCCAGGTGAAGTGAGTCCCTGAGCAGCCGCTGGTGTGCGGCCGCCCTCCTGTCTGTGCCCGGAAAGCCTCCTTCCACATATTCTGTGGGCTTGGGGGCCGGGGTTGGGGGTCCGGATGGCATCATACACTTATTTCTGCAAGTTCTTCTTCCTGGGCCCCCCACTGCCGCCCTGCAAACCTGGGAGCTGTCTGGGGGTGGTGACCGATGCCCCCGTCCATACGCCTAAGCCAGCAGGGAGCCTCAGAGACCGCTGGGCCCGGCCAGCCCTTGGCAGCATTCCAGCCATGACCACTCCTCCCCAGCACCCCCCCCTCCCAGCACCCACTCCTCCCCAGCACCTGCCCCTCCTTGGCCTGTGGCACCAGCAGCTCTTGTTTCCTCTCAGGAGCCCCCTGAAAACGTACCTCTTCCCCGCCAGCCCTTGGAAGGGTGGGGGTGGGGCGGCCACGCTGACCCTCCCTCCCTTGCACCCAAGTCTCACTTGCTCAGAATCAGCCGGCAGATGGACGATGGCGGGCACGGAGCAGGCGGGGTCGTGGGCCCGACCGTGGTGGATCCAACTGTCGTGGGCCCGACCGTGGTGGGCAGCGGGCGAGGCCCGTGGCAGGCTGGCTGGTTGGGGATGCTGACATTCCAGAGGCCAGACATCTCAGAGCAGGAAGCGACCACCGTGCCCCCAGGCGTGCGGCACTCATCCTTCAGGTCGTTGGTGCAAGTGCCTGGACAGATGCAGTGGGGGTCAGGTTGCTGGACAGCAGAGCCAGGCGGCCCCAGTCCACATGGGGCTCAGCACCCCCAGCTGGGGGACAGGACCCTGGCATCTCAGGGTCACACCTTGGTGGACTGCAGTGGACCCTGCCTGTGCCTCGCTGTCCCCCAAGAACAACCCTGGGGCAGTCCCCATGGCACCGGGGAGCTGTAGGTACGGGCAGGTGTAGGCCTCATGCGTGTGACCTGCGCTCGGCAGAGCAGCCAGAAAGCAGAGACACCAGCACGTGCAGCACGTGGCGGCCTCGCACCCTGCCCAGTACCCCCTGCCCCCGTGAGTGCCAGACGATGCCTGGGAGCCCTGTGGCCTCACCGCACTGGCCCTCGGTGTTGTTGGCAAACTTGCTGAAGGGCACCTCCACCGAGAAGATGAGGCCGGAGAACATGACCTGGACGCCCAGTGCCGGGATGGTCGCATACATCTTGATGCCGACGCGCGAAACCACGATGCCGTTTTTCCGGAAGCCAGGGCTGACTACCTTGTTGTTGAAGATGATCTGGACGCGGGGTGCAGTCGACGGGAAGATAGAAGGCGGGCGGGCGGGCAGGCGGTCAGCCACTGCTCAGGCTCTAGACAGGAAACCCACGTCCCCCACCCTCTACCCAGCACACCGGGCACACCCCCACCTCATTGATCATCGCCCCGTGGACTGACTTGCGGGTCAGCACCACGCGGTCCTGCTGGTACTCCAGGATGACGGACTTCGGGCAGGAAAGCCCATCCTCCGCGCCGCAGAAGTCGTTGTCCACCAGCACGCGGAAGTGGCCGTACACGGGCACGATCTGCTGCACCAGCACGTACGTGCAGTTGTCCAGGAAGGTGTAGTAGGTGCCGTCAAAGGTGATGTAGTGGGGATCACCCCAGCCGCTGCACACACCTGCCAGGCCCCGGGGGCAGCCTTATGGGATGGTGGCACCATGGCCCCGGGGTTTTCTCCCAACAGGTCACATCTGTTCCTGACCCCCCACCGTCTCCCCTCACAGGGCGCACGAGACCCTCCACATCATCAGAACACACGTGACCAGCATTTGCACAGAGCTCCAACCAACAGGCGCTTGACAAGGCTGGAGCAAGGCAGGGACAGACCCCTCCACCTTCTCCAGCCAGGCTGCTCCGAGGCTCACAGGGATTCACTCAGCACCCCTAAGTAGGGAGGCTCGGCCCCGTGCATCCCCGCCTCGATGATGGGAAGTCCTTCCTGCTGTCCCACCTGATTCCTTTCTGCTTCACCCAAGCCCCCTCCTCTGCCCCACCCCTTTCCACCTGGGTCGGGAGTGGCTGCCCCGGCTCCTGCCCGGTGCTCCACTCACACTGGCACTGGTAGTGATAGCAGCAGCCGTCCTGGTCGGCCACCTTCAGGGCCGGGTAGCCATTGGCACAGGTGGGTTTCTCCACCCTCGGGCACGTTCGCGGGCGCAGGGAGATGATGTTGTTGCCCTCACAGGTGGCCTCAGAGCAGTTGGGCGTGGCCCAGGTCTCACCTTTCTGCAGAAGCACAGAGAGCTGCGGGGTCCGGCCTCTCCCGGTCTCCGGGGCACCCCTTGGTTCTTGAGGTCACAGTCCCGAGAGTCCAGTGTGGGGACAGGGGAGGGTGGCTGTGCCCCAGTCTCCTTCCCGCCCCATCCTCAGCACCCACCCCAGACACCAAGCTGGCCTGGGGCAGGGGTCTCTGGTGCGAGAGTTGCTCCTCCCTGGCTCTGCCACACTTCCTGGCTGTGCAGCCGCGGCCACAGCCTCATCCCGCTGCTCTGGCCCTGGCTGGCCTCAGCACAGCCTCAGCATTGGGCCCCATACACCCAGTGCCTAGAAATCATGTGTCTGGGAAGTCCAGGGGGATCAGAGACCCTGGGCTATAGCACGGCCCTCTCCTGATGGCCAGGCTGCCTCCACTAGGGCCAGTGACCTTCTCAAGACCTTGCAGCTGAAGCCTAATTGCAAAGACATTCAAGTTCCCTGCAGTGGCCCCTGAGCCTTCAGAAGGGTGAGAAGTAGGGGGTTACCTTTCTGGGGGGAACCGCATTTGGGCATCCCAGCTCAGTGACGGGCTCAGAGGTGGATGTCCAAGGGGACGTGGCTGGGGCAGGAGGCAGCGTGGTGGATGGACAGTCACTGCCAACCCCTCTGACCACTTGGCAGTCCTGGCTGCACAGGGCATAATAGCAGTGGCCGGCGAGGTCTCTGTGGCGGTATATGGTGGATCCTACAGGAGGAAGGGACATGATAGCCTTTAGTGGAGCCCTGCTCAAAGAAGAGGCACAAACCCCTCAGTGGGCCAGAGTGGCACTATCTACCACCTGTGTAATGGGAACAAACTTCAGATAATGCCAGCAGCCACTCTGTGACAATGAGCCTGTGCCACAAAGAGCAGAGACTCCTCTCATCTCCATCACAGCTTGGCATTCCTGGATGAAAAACTGACCAGGGTGAGCTCAGAAACAATTGCACCAGAAACACTCACGAACCCATGGGGTAGAGCCGGTCAGTTACGTTGCAGAAGCAGGTTGGGGTGGAGTAAGCCACAGAGCTGGAGGCCACAGAGCTGGATGCCACAGAGCTGGATGCCACAGAGGTGGATGCCACGGAGGTAGACAGGGAAGGATACAGGGTATTGGTAGAAGTCCCGTATGGGGTCACAGCAGTCACCGGGCAGCCTTTGGGGATCTCGCAGCAGAGCACGCGCACCTCGTAGTTGAGGCACATCTTGAAGGGTCTTTGCTGGTCCTGGTTCCGGCACACCAGGCCCTCTTCGCGGCTGCACTGCACCACCTGGCCCAGGTGTTCGATGCTCACCTCCGGGTGGCTCGCAGCTCGGCACTGGAGCCTGGTGATCTCCTCAGGTTGGTGGCAGATTTTTTCCCCACTTCTGATGATGTTGTTGTAGGTTTCCTCATCTCCACCGTGGGGTCCAGGGGATGGGAAGTGCACGTCGAACCACTTGGTCCAGGTGCACTGGGGATGACAGTCACTGGTAACTGGTTGAGGGTGGGTTGTCTTGGATACAGAAACATGGCTTGTGCTGGTCTTTGAAACAGAGGTTGTGCTGGTGGTGGGAACAGGGCTGGGAGTAGTTCCAGGACTGGAGGGTGTGCTGGTTGTAGGAGCAGAGGTTGTGCTGGTTGTAGGAGCCGAGGTTGTGCTGCTTGTAGGGGCAGAAGTAGTGCTGGTTATAGGAGCTGAGGATGTGGTGGTTGTAGGAGCCGAGATAGTGGTGGTTGTAGGAACAGAGGTTGTTCTGTGTGTAGGAGCAGAGGTTGTGCTGGTTGTAGGGGTAAAAGTTGTGCTGGTTGTAGGAGCAGAGGTTGTGCTGGTTGTAGGGGCAGAGGTTGTGCTGCTTGTAGGGGCAGAGGTTGTGCTGCTTGCAGTGGCAGAGGATGTGCTGGTCTGTGGAGTGGAGGTTGTGCTGGTTGTAGGGGAAGAAGTTGTGCTGGTTGTAGGAGCTGAGGATGTGCTCATTGTAGGAGCTGAGGTTGTGCTGGTTGTAGGAGCAGAGATAGTGCTGGTGGTAGGAACAGGGCTGGGAGTAGTTCCAGGACCAGAGGTCTGGTCCTGGTTCCGCACACCAGGCCCTCTTCATGTGTTGCACTGCACCACCTGGCCCAGGTAAGCGATGCTCACCTCCCGGTGGCTCAGCAGGGCCTGTGGCACTGGAGCCTGGGTGATCTCCTTTCAGGTTGGTGGCAGATTTTTCCCACTTCTGATGATGTTGTTGTAGGTTTCACTCTGCACCGTGGGGTCCAGGGGATGGAAGCACGTCGAACCACTTGGTCCAGGTGCACTGGGGATGACAGCTCTCTGGTAACTGGTTGAGGGTGGGTTGTCTTGGATACAGAAACATGGCTTGTGCTGGTCTTTGAAACAGAGGTTGTGCTGGTGGTGGGAACAGGGCTGGGAGTAGTTCCAGGACTGGAGGGTGTGCTGGTTGTAGGACAGAGGTTGTGCTGGTTGTAGGAGCGAGGTTGTGCTGCTTGTAGGGGCAGAAGCGAAAAGGTTATAGGAGCTGAGGATGTGGTGGTTGTAGGAGCGTAGAGATAGTGGTGGTTGTAGGAACAGAGTATTATGGTGTGTAGGAGCAGAGGTTGTGCTGGCTGTGGGGTAAAAGAAGCTGGTTGTAGGAGTGAGAGGTGTTGTGCTGGTTGTAGGCAGAGTTGCTTGTAGGGGCAGAGGTTGTGCTGCTTGCAGTGGCAGAGATGTGCTGGTCTGTGGAGGAGGCTGTGCTGGGTTGTAGGGGAAGTTAGTTGTGCTGGTTGTAGAGCTGAGGATGCTCATTGTAGGAGCTGAGGTTGTGCTGGTTGTAGGAGCAGAGCAGTGCTGGTGGTAGGAACAGTGGGGAGTAGTTCCACGCAGGACCAGAGGTTGTGCTGGTTGGGAGAAGCAGAGGTTGCAGTGGTGAGAACAGGGCTGAGTAGTTTCAGGACCAGAGGTTGTGCTGGTTGTAGCAGCAGAGGTTTTGCTGTGTTTGTAGGGGCAGAGGTTGTTCTGGTTGTAGGGGCAGAGGTTGTGCTAATGGTGAAAACAGAGCTTTGGGTACTTCCAGGACCAGAAGTTGTGCTGGTTGTAGGAACAGAGGTTATGCTGGTCTGTGGAGTGGAGGTTGTGCTGCTTGTAGGGGCAGAGAGTTGGGCTGGGTTGTAATAGCAGAGAGGTTGTGTGCTGGTTGTAGGAGCAGAGGTTGTGCTGGTGGTGGGAGCAGGGCTGGGAGTCGTTCCAGGACCAGAGGTTGTGCTGCTGGTAGAAGCAGAAGTTGTGCTGGTGGTGGAAGAGGGGCTGGGAGTAGTTTCAGGACCAGAGGATGCTGGTAGTAGAAGCAGAGGTTGTGCTGGTGGTGGCACAGGGCTGGAGTAACTCCAGGACCAAAGGTTCTGCTGGTTGTAGAAGCAGAGGTTTTGCTGGTTGTAGGAGCAGAGGTTGTGCTGGGCAGGTGGGAACAGGGCTGGGAGTAGTTTCAGGAGCAGAGGTTGTGCTAGTTGCAGTGGCTGAGGTTGTGTTGTGCTGCCATAGGGCAGAGAGGGGTTCTGGCTAGCAGAGATTGTGCTGGTGGTGGGAACAGGGCTTTGGGTAGTTCCAGGACCAGAAGTTGTGCTGGTTGTAGGAGGTGAGATTGTTCTGACTCTAGGGACAGGGATTGTACTGGTTGTAGTAGCAGAGGTTGTGCTGGTTGTAGTAGCAGAGGTTGTGCTGGTTGGAGAGCAGAGGTTGTGCTGGTTGAGGAACAGAGGTTGTGCTGGTTGAGGAGCAGAGGTTGTGCTGGTTGAGGAGCAGAGGTTGTGCTGGTTGAGAGCAGAGGTTTTGTTGGTGGTAGGAACAGGGCTTGGGTGGTTCCAGGACCAGAGGTTGTGCTGGTTGTAGAAGCAGAGGTTGTGCTGGTGGTAGGAGCAGAGGTTGTGCTGGTGGGTGGAACAGGGTTGGGAAGCCAGTTCCAGGACTGGAGGTTGTGCTGGTCGCAGGAGCAGAGCTTGTGCTGGTTGTAGGAGCAGAGGTTGTGCTGGTGGTAGGAACAGGGCTGGGAGACTCCAGGACCAGAGGTTGTGCTGGTTGTAGAAGCAGAGGTTGTACTGGTAGTAGGAACAGGGCTGGAAGTAGTTTCCAGGACCAGAGGTTGTACTGGTTGTAACAGCAGAGGTTTTGCTGCTTGTAGGGGCAGAGGTTAACTGGCTAGGGGCAGAGGTTGTGCTAATGGTGAAAACAGAGCTTTGGGGTACTTCCAGACCAGAAGTGCTGGTTGTAGGAACAGAGGTTATGCTGGTCTGTGGAGTGGAGGTTGTGCTGCCTTCTTAGGGGCAGGAGGTTGGGCTAGTTGTAATAGCAGAGGTTGTGCTGGTTGTAGGAGCAGAGGTCGTGCTGGTGATGGGAACAGGGCTGGGAGTCGTTCCAGGACCAGAGGTTGTGCTGGTTGTAGTGGCAGAGGTTGTGCTGGTTGTAGGAGCAGAGGTCGTGCTGGTGGTGGGAGCAGGGCTGGGAGTCGTTCCAGGACCAGAGGTTGTGCTGCTGGCAGAATAAGAAGCCGGTGCTGGTGGTAGGAAGAGGGCTGGGAGTAGTTTTAGACCAGAGGATGTGCTGGTAGTAGAAGCAGAGGTTGTGCTGGTGGTAGGCACAGGGCTGGAGTAACTCCAGGACCAAAGGTTCTGCTACAGAAGCAGAGAGGTTTTGCTGGTTGTAGAGCAGAGGCGCTGGTGGTGTAACATGCAGGGCTGGGAGTAGTTTCAGGAGCAGAGGTTGTGCTAGTTGCAGTGGCTGAGGTTGTGCTGCTTATAGGGCAGAGGTTGTTCTGGTTGTGGTAGGGGCAGAGATTGTGCTGGTGGTGGAACAGGGCTTTGCAGTTCCAGACCAGAAGTTGTGCTGGTTGTAGGAGGTGAGATTGTTCTGACCTAGGACAGGGATCATGTACTGGGTTGTAGTAGCAGAGAGGCTGTGCTGGTTGGGTAGTAGCAGAGGTTGTGTTGGCCGGAGGAGCAGAGGTTGTGCTGGTTGGAGGAACAGAGGTTGTGCTGGTTGGAGGAGCAGAGAGGTTGTGCTTGGTTGAGGAGCAGAGGTTGTGCTGGTTGAGGAGCAGAGGTTTTGTTGGTGGTAGGAACAGGGTCAGGGTGGTTCCAGACCAGAGGCTGTGCTGGTTGTGGTAGCTGGAGAGGTTGTGCTGGTGGTAGGAGCAGAGGTTGTGCTGGTGGTGGGAACAGGGTTGGGAATAGCCCCAGGACTGAGGTTGTGCTGGTCGCAGGAGCAGAGCTTGTGCTGGCTATAGGAGCAGAGGTTGTGCTGGTGGTAGGAACAGGGCTGGGAGAAGGTTCCAGGACCAGAGGTAGTGCTGGCTGTTGTGGAAGCAGAGGTTGTACTGGTAGTAGGAACAGGGCTGGAAGTAGTTTCGGGACCAGAGGTTGTACTGGTTGTAGCAGCAGAGGTTTTGTTGCTTGTAGGGCAGAGAGGTTGTTCTGGTTAGCAGAGGTTGTGCTAGTGGCAGTGGAAACAGAGCTTGGGTACCCAGGACCAGAAGTTGTGCTGGTTGTAGAACAGTGTTGGTGCTGGTCTGTGGAGTGGGAGGTTGTGCTGCTTGTAGGGGGCAGAGTTGGGCTAGTTGTAATAGCAGAGGTTGTGCTGGTTGTAGGAGCAGAGGTCGTGCTGGTGATGGGAACAGGGCTGGGAGTCGTTCCAGGACCAGAGGTTGTGCTGGTTGTAGTGGCAGAGGTTGTGCTGGTTGTAGGAGCAGAGTTTGTGCTGGTGGTGTAAAACAGGGCTGGGAGTCGTTCCAGACCAGAGGTTAAAGGCTGGTAGAAGCAGAAGTTGTGCTGGTGGTAGGAAGAGGGCTGGGAGTAGTTTCAGGACCAGAGGATGTGCTGGTAGTAGAAGCAGAGAGGTTGTGCTGGTGGTAGTACAGGGCTGGGAGTAGTTCCAGGACCAAAGGTTCTGCTGGTTGTAGAAGCAGAGGTTTTGTCGGGTTGTAGGAGCAGAGGTTGTGCTAGAACAGGGCTGGGAGTAGTTTCAGGAGCAGAGGTTGTGTTAAAGGTGGCTGAGGTTGTGCTGGGCGAGTAGGGGCAGAGGTTGTTCTGGTTGTAGGGGCAGAGATTGTGCTGGTGGTGAACAGGCTTGCAGTTCCAGGACCAGTTGTGCTGGTTGTAGGGAGGTGAGATTGTTCTGACTCTAGGGACAGGATTGTAATTGGTTGTAGTAGCAGAGGTTGTGCTGGTTGGAGGAGCAGAGGTTGTGCTGGTTGGAGGAGAAGAGGCTTTGTTGGTGGTAGGAACAGGGCTTGGGGTAGTTCCAGGACCAGAGGTTGTGCTGGTTGTAGAAGCAGAGGTTGTGCTGGTAGTAGGAGCAGAGGTCGTGCTGGTGGTGGGAATAGGGCTGGGAATAGTTCCAGGACTGGAGGTTGTGCTGGTCGTAGGAGCAGAGCTGGTGCTGGCTGTAGGAGCAGAGAGGTTGCTGGTGGTAGGAACCGGGCTGGGAGTAGTTCCAGGACCAGAGGTTGTGCTGGTTGTAGAAGTGAGGTTTTGCTGAAGCTGTGTAGGAACAGGCTGGGACATGTTTCCAGGACCAGAGGTTGTGCTGGTCGAGGCTGCAGATGTTGTGCTGCTTGTAGGGGGCAAGAGGTTGAAGCTCTGGTTGTAGGAGCAGAGGCTGTGCTGGTGGTGGGAACAGGCTGGGAGTACTTCTAGAATAGAGGCTCTGCTGGTTGTAGGGAGAACTGGTGCTAGTTGTAGGAGGAGCTGGTGCTGGTTCTAGGAGCAGAGAGGTTGTTCTGGTGGTAGAACTGGGCTGGAAGTACTGGGTCTTGTTCAGTTGTAGAAGCAGAGGTTGTGCTGGTGGTAAGAACAGGGCTGGGAGTAGTTTCAGGACCAGAGGTTGTGCTGGTTGTAGTGGCAGATGTTGTGCGCTACTGTAGGTAAGAGGTACACTTGCTGTAGGAGCAGAAGTTGTGCTGGTGGTGGGAACAAGGCTGGGAGTAGTTCCAGACTAGAGGTTGTAGCTGGTTGTAGGAGCAGAACTGCGTTGGTTGTAGGATAAGAGCTGGTGGTGCTGGTTGTAGGAGCAGAGGTTGTGCTGGAGGTAGGAACAGGGCTGGGAGTAGTTTCCAGGACCTGAGGTTGTGCTGCTATATGGCAGAAGTTGTGCTGCTTGTAGGGCAGAGAAGTTGTTCTGGTTGTAGGAGCAGAAGTTGTGCTGGTGGTGGGAACAGGGCTGGGAGTAGTTCCAGGACTGTGGGGGTTGTGCTGCTTGTAGGGGCAGAGGTTGTGCTGGAGGTAGGAACAGGGCTGAGAGTAGTTCCAGCACTAGAGGTTGTGCTAGTTGTAGAAGCAGAGGTTGTTCTGGTTGTAGGAGCAGAGGTTGCACTGGTGGTGGGAACAGGGCTGGGAACAGTTCCAGGACTAGAGGTTGTGCTGGTTGTAGGAGCAGAACTGGTGCTGGTTGTAGGAGCAGCAGAGCTGGTGGTGCTGGTTGTAGGCTTATGAGCCGATGGTGCTGGTGGTAGGAACAGGGCTGGGAGTGGTTCCAGACCAGAGGTTGTGCTGGTTGTAGAAGAAGAGGTTGTGCTGATGGTAGGGAAATGAGCTATGAGAGTTTCAGGACCAGAGGTTGTGCTGGTTATAGCGGCAGAGGTTGTGCTGCTTGTAGGGGTAGAATTGTTCTGGTTGTAGGGCAGAGGTTATGCTGGTGTGGAACAGGGCTTGAGTAGTTCCAGGACTAGTTGTAGTTGCTGTAGGAACAGAACTGGTACTGGCTGTAGGAGCAGAGCTGGTGGTGCTGGTTGTAGGAACATAAGCCACCGGTGGTGTTAGAACAGGGCTGGGAGAGTAACCCAGGACCAGAGGTTGTGCTAAGGTAGAAGCAGAGGTTTTGCTAGTTGTAGGAGCAGAGGTTGTGCTGGTGGTGGGAACAGGCCTGGGAGTAGTTCCAGGACTAGAGGTTGTGCTGGTTGTAGAAGCAGAGGTTGTGCTGGTTGTAGCGGCAGAGGTAGCTGCTTGTAGGGCCAGAGGTTGTTCTGGCTGTAGAGCAGACAGGCTGATGGTGGTGGCTGGTAGTAGTTCCAGGAATAGAGGTTGCTGGTTGTAGAGCAGAGCTGGTGCTGGTTGTAGAGTTAAGAGGCTTTGCTGGTGGTAGGAACTGGGAGTAGTTCCAGGACCAGAGGTTGTGCTGGTTGTAGGAGCAGAGGTTGTGCTGGTGGTGGAAATGGGCTGAGTAGTTCCAGGACTAGAGGTTGTCCTGGTTGTAGGAGCAGAGATTATGCTGCTTGTAGGGGCAGAGGTTGTACTGGTTGTAGAAGCAGAGGTTGTGCTGGTGGTAGGAACAGGGCTGGTAGTAGTCCCAGGACCAGAGGTTGTGCTGGTTGTGGTGGCAGAGGCTGTGCTGCTTGTGGGCAGAGGTTGTTCTGGCTGTAGGAGCAGAGGTTGTGCTGATGGTGGGAACAGGGCTGGGAGTAGTTCCAGGACTAGAGGTTGTGCTGGTTGTAGGAGCAGAACTGGAGTTGGTTAGAGGAGCAGATGTTGTGCTGGTGGTAGAACTGGACTGGGAGTAGTCTCAGACCAGAGGTTGTGCTGGTAGTAGAAGCAGATAGTTTGCCTGATGGTAGGAACAGCTGGGAGTAGTCCCAGGACCAGAAGTTGTGGCTGGTTATAGGGTAGAGGTTGTGCTGCTTGTATGGGCAGAGGTTGTGCTGGTTGTAGGAGCAGGTTGTGCTGGTGGTGGGAACAGGGCTGGGAGAACTCCAGGACTAGAGGTTGTGCTGGTTGTAGAGCAGAACTGGTGCTGGTTGTGGTGGAGCATGGGCTGGTGCTGGTTGTAGGAGAAGAGGTTGTGCTGGTGTAGGAACTGGGCTGGGGGAGTAGAAGTTCCAGGACTAGAGGTTGTGCTGGTTATAGAAGCAGAGGTTTTGCTGGTTGTAGAGCAGAGGTTGTGCTGGTGGTGGGAACAGGCTGGGAGCATCTCCAGGACTAGTGGTTGTGCTGGTTGTAGGAGCAGAGGTTGTGCTGGTGGTAGGAACAGGGCTGGGAGTAGTCTCAGGACCAGAGGTTGTGCTGGTTGTGGCAGCAGAGGTTGTGCTGCTTATAGCAGCAGAGGTTGTTCTGGTTGTAGAAGCAGAGTTTGTGCTGGTGGTGGGAACAGGGCTTGGAGTAGTTCCAGGACTAGAGGTTGTGCTGGTTGTGGGAGCAGAACTGGTGCTGGTTGTAGGAGCAGAGCTGGTGGTGCTGATTGTAGGAACAGAGCTGGTGGTGCTGGTGGTGGGAACAGGGCTGGGAGTAGTTCCAGGACTAGAGGTTGTGCTGGTTGTAGAAGTAGAGGTTGTGCTGGTGGTAGGAATAGGGCTGGGAGTAGTTCCAGGACTAGAGGTTGTGCTGGTTGTAGAAGTAGAGGTTGTGCTGGTGGTAGGAATAGGGCTGGGAGTATTTTCAGGACCGGAGGTTGTGCTGGTTATAGTAGCAGAGGTTGTGCTGCTTGTAGGGGCAGAGGTTGTGCTGATTGTAGGAGTAGAGGTTGTGCTGGTGGTAGGAACAGGGCTGGGAGTAGTCTCAGGACCAGAAGCTATGCTGGTTGTAGCGGCAGAGGTTGTGCTGCTTATAGGGGCAGAGGTTGTTCTGGTTGTATGAGCAGAGGTTGTGCTGATGGTGGGAACAGGGCTAAGAGTAGTTCCAGGACTAGAGGTTGTGCTGGTTGTAGGAGCAGAACTGGTGCTGGTTGTAGGAGCAGAGCTGGTGCTGGTTGTAGGAGCAGAGGTTGTGCTGGTGGTTGGAACTGGGCTGGGAGTAGTTCCAGGACCAGAGGTTGTGCTGGTTGTAGAAGCAGTGGTTGTGCTGGCAGTAGGAACAGGGCTGGGAGCAGTTTCAGGACCAGAGGGTGTGCTGCTTGTAAGGGCAGAGGTTGTTCTGGTTGTAGGAGCAGTAGTTGTGCTGGTGGTGGGAACAGGGCTGGGAATAGTTGCAGGACCAGAGGTTGTGCTGCCTGTAGGAACAGAGCTGGTGCTGGTTGTAGGAGCAGAGATTGTGCTGGTGGTAAGAACAGGGGTGGGAGTATTTCCAGGACTAATGGTTGTGCTGGTTGTAGAGGCAGAAGTTGTGCTGGTTGTAGGAGTTGAGATTGTGCTGGTTGTAGGGGCAGAGGTTGTGCTAGTTGTAGGAGCAGAGGTTGTTGTAGTCTGTCGAGTGAAGATTGTGCTTTTTGTAGGAGCAGAGGAGTTGTTGTGGGTGGAGGAGCAGGAGTCGTGCTGGTTGTAGAACAAGAAGTCGTGCTGGTTATAGGGGCAGAGGTTGGTTCTGGTCTTTCGAATGCACTTGGTGCTTTTGTAGGAGCAGATGTTGCAGGTCTTAGGAGCAGAGGTCATGCTGGTTGTAGAACACCAGAGGTTGTGCTGGTTTAGGGGGTAGAGGTTGTGCTGGTTTTAGGGGTAGAGGGGTTGTGCTGCTGGTCTTTCGAGTGCAGGTTGTGCTTTTTGTAGGAGCAGAGGTTGTTGTGGGTGGAGGAGCAGGAGTCGTGCTGGTTGTGGGAACAGAAGTCGTGCTGGTTGTAGGGGCAGAGGTTGTGCTGGTCTTTCGAGTGCAGGTTGTACCTTGGGAGCAGATGTTCTGGGTGTGGGAGCAGAGGTCGTGCTGGTTTGCAGGGTAGAGGTTGTGCTGGTCTTCCGAGTGTAGGTTGTGCTTTTGTAGGAGCAGAGATTGCTCTGGAGTATAGGAGCAGAGGTCGTGCTGGTTGTAAGAGGCAGAGAGATCTTGCTGGTTGTAGGGCAGAGGTTGTGCTAGTCTTTGATGCAGGTTGTGCTTTTTGTCGGAGCAGAGGTTGTTCTGGGTGTAGGAGCAGAGGTCGTGTTGGTTTGTAGGGGCAGAGGGAGGTTGTGCTGGTTGTAGGAGCCGAGGATGTGCTAGTTGGCAGGAGCTGAGAGGTTGTGCTGGTTTGTCAGAGCAGAGAGGTTGTTTGGGGTGTAGGAGCAGAGGTCATGCTGGTTGTAGGGAGTAGAGATTGTATGCTAGTCTGTGGAGTGGAGGTTGTGCTAATTGTCACAAAGTGGTTGTCCTGGGTTTTTCTGCCAAAGAGGAGGTGCTCTCTGAGTTGGACATTGGCTCTCCACTTGGGGTGCTGGGAGCTGTGACAGGTGTGGACATCACAGGAGGGCAGCCTTTGGGGTCTCACAGCAGAGCACGCGCACCTCGTAGTTTGAGGCACATCTTGAAGGGTTCCTGCTGGTCTAGTTCCACGGCACACAGGCCCTCCCGGCTGCACTGCACCACCTGGCCCAGGTGTTCGATGCTCACCTCCCGGGTGGCTCGCAGCTCAGCACGGAGCCTGGTGATCTCCACTCAGGTTGGCGCTTGGGTTTCCCGCTTCTGATGTTGTTGTGAGTTTCCTCATCTCCGCCCCGTGGGGTCAGGGGGCGGGGAAGTCCGCGTCGAACCACTGGTCCAGGTGCACTGGGGATGACAATCTCTGGTGACCGATCTGCTGTGGGTGTCCTGTGTTGGCGCTGTGGTTACTGTGGACCCACCCTGGAGGTGGCTGTGGGTTGCTCCGTGGAGAGCTGAGGGCACGTGTGTGGCGAAGGTGGTCTGGAGTCTGAGCTCAGCTGGGTGTGGAGTCGGCCGTGTGGTTGTGATGGTCTTCAGCGTTCTCTGGTTGTAGGGGCAGAGGTTGTGCTGGTCTTTCGAGTGCAGGTTGTGCTTTTTGTCGGAGCAGAGGTTGTTCTGGGTGTAGGAGCAGAGGTCGTGTTGGTTGTAGGGGCAGAGGTTGTGCTGGTTGTAGGAGCCGAGGATGTGCTAGTTGTAGGAGCTGAGGTTGTGCTGGTTGTCAGAGCAGAGGTTGTTTGGGGTGTAGGAGCAGAGGTCATGCTGGTTGTAGGGGTAGAGATTGTACTGGTCTGTGGAGTGGAGGTTGTGCTAATTGTCACCAAAGTGGTTGTCCTGGGTTTCTGCCAAGAGGAGGTGCTCTGAGTTGGACTGGTGGCTCTCCCACTTGGGGTGCTGGGAGCTGTGACAGGTGTGGACATCACAGGGCAGCCTTTGGGGGTCTCACAGCAGAGCACGCGCACCTCGTAGTTGAGGCACATCTTGAAGGGTTCCTGCTGGTCCTGGTTCCGGCACACCAGGCCCTCTTCGCGGCTGCACTGCACCACCTGGCCCAGGTGTTCGATGCTCACCTCCGGGTGGCTCGCAGCTCGGCACTGGAGCCTGGTGATCTCCTCAGGTTGGCGGCAGATTTTTTCCCCGCTTCTGATGATGTTGTTGTAGGTTTCCTCATCTCCGCCGTGGGGTCCAGGGGACGGGAAGTCCACGTCGAACCACTTGGTCCAGGTGCACTGGGGATGACAATCTCTGGTGACCGATCTGCTGTGGGTGTCCTGTGTGACGCTGGTTGCTGTGGACCCACCCCTGGAGGTGGCTGTGGGTTGCTCCGTGGAGGCTGAGGGCACGTGTGTGGCGAAGGTGGTCTGGGTCTGAGCTCCAGTTGGGTGTGGAGTCGGCCGTGTAGTTGTGATGGTCTTCAGCGTTCTGGTGCCGTCTCTGCACTTGTTCACCGTCTTGCAACACTGGATGCGGATCTCGTAGTTGTAGCAGATGGGTGGGAGCTGATTCTTGTTCAGGCAAATCAGCCCCTCCGTGCGGCTACAGATGACGTCCTGCCCCAGGTCTGCCAGTGGCGTGTTGGGGAAGCCCACTGCCCGGCACTCCACGCTTCGAGGATTTTCACAGAATTTGTATCCTTCGTCTCTCAAATTTTGAAATGTGTCAAAATCTCCGCCATTTATTCCGGGATGAGGGTAGCTGCCGTCGATCCACTCGGTCCAGGTGCAAAGCTCGTGTACACAGGAGGGTGTGATGGACTCGGTGTGGCTGGGCTTGCTGGAGACCACAGAGGTCCCCGGGGCGGTGGTCGACACGGATGATGTTGATGTCGCTGGCACTGGCGGAGGGCTGGGAGTTGAGAAAGTTCTTTTGACAGATGTAGTGGTACCTGGGGCAGGTGCTGTCCTGGACGTAGAGAGAGACACGGGGCCAGGTGTGCTGCTGGGGACTGAGGAGGCTGAGGCCCGGGTTTCAGTGGTCTTGGAGGTTGTTGGAGGAGTGGTCTGGGTTGAACTGCTAGAGGTGGAGCAGGCTAGGGGCGTGCAACACAGGACCCTGATCTGGTGGTTGTAGCAGAGCCCCGATGCTTGCTCCCTGTTACGACAGGTCAGCCCCACGTCCGGGCTGCACTGCACACGCTGCCCCAGGGCTCGGAGCGGCACTCTGGGGGCGTCCTCAGCTCGGCACTCCACCGACCTGGGTGATTCGCACACCAGGTACCCATGGGCGCGGAGGTTCTTCAGCGTGTCAAAGTCACCGCTGTCCATGCCCCGTCCAGGGCGGCTAACGTCCATCCAAGGTGACCACAGGCACTCTTCCCCACAGACCGGTGGCAGCGAGGCAGAGGCTGTGGGCGGAGTCGTCCTGGGAGAAGTGCCTGCTGTGGTGGGCCAGGCGCTGCTTGGAGGGCCTGTGTGCGCGCTGCTCGGGACAGGGCTGGAGGCGTGCGTGGAGCTCACGACTGTGGGCAGAAGATAAGGCAGCTGAGCACGAGGGGCTGGCACTGGGGGCTGCCCCCACCCCTCCCTGCGGCCCTGTCAGCGGTCTGAGGCTGCACCAGCAGGCCTGTCTGCCTGTCCCCACCCATGGTCCCTGCTCAGAACCCACATGAGTGGCACAGCTGCTGAAGAGCCAGGCGAACTGACTGAGTTTTAGGGAAGTGGCTCCCAGGCCATGCCCTGAGCAGCGTCCACGCATCTATGCCCCAGAACGCCAGAGTTCCAGAGCTTTCTACTCTCAGAGAAGCTCAGATGATGCCTTGGGGCCCTGGGACATCCCCCAGGAGAGGACGAGGACACGGGGGTACCCGAACCCTGAGCAGCGTGAGGCAAGTGACAGCCGTGCGTCCCCAGGGCCAGGCTGGGCTGCCAGATCCCCGACACTCCCATGAGGCCAGGCCCGGGGGCTGCTGAGGGCAGGACTTGGACGCCAGGACTGCTGGGGTGACTTGGAGGCTGGGCCCTCCCCACTGCAGATGGCTGGCCGGAAAACAGCAGGTCATCCCCAAGCCCAACACCCTGCTCCTCGGTCCCTTCCTGATCCTCAGGGGCTGCCGCCCATGCCCAGAGCTGCTGTGACCTCAGCGTCCAGCAAGGGCAGCTGTGCCGGGCAGTGGGAGGGGCTCACCCTGGGGCTCCTCGGCTGCATTTGCCTTACCGAGCGGGGGTGTGGAGAAGGAGAAGGTGGTTGGGGGGACGGGGGTGGTGGGGCTGCAGGGGTAGACCCTCCTCTCAATGGTGCCGTTGGCCCCGCAGCGGGCAGAGATGCAGCCACCCGTGCCATCCGTCGTGTGGTAGATGACGTCCCCTGGGTGGAAGCGCTGTCCGTCGTAGGTGCAGACACAGGCTGTGGGAACAGAGGGGCCAGGCCCGTCAGAGGCTGGGTGCAGGCAGAGACCCCCGGATCCCAGCCCCAGGGGCTGCCAGCCACTCACCCTCAGCTTCGTAGGTGCACTCCACGCCGCGCTCGGTGCAAAGGCTGGAGACAAGGAAGAAGGGCAGGCTGGTGCATGGGGGCGGCTGCGTACCTTCCACGGGCATCCCATGCTGCCAAGGGCGGGCAGGGAGCAGCTCCGACAGAGGTGGAGTTCCCTGGGCACTGCACTGCACCCCCGGACTGGGGAACAGGGAGGCCAGCCCCACCCGGGCCCCAGCAGTTGTCCCTCCAGGGTCAGCCCAAGGTCCCTCCCTTGTGGGGCCCCTCCAGTCAGGGGCCAGGGGAAGCGGGTGCTAGAATGGGGCCATTACGCCCCAGGGGTAATTTTAACGGGCGTCCTTCCCGTGGGGACCCTGGGGCTCCATCTCGGCCCAGCTTCCCGCTGCCGCCCCCTGAGCCCCTCGAGCCTGCTCCCCAGAGGCTGTGCTGGTTTTCTGCCCAGAGGAGCCTTACACCCAGCCCTGCCTCTGGGACTCAGGACATGGGGGTGTTGGCCCCTGAGAAGCTTACGTCACAGTCGCCTGGGCCAGGATGGGACCCACAGCTTCAACTCCAGTAACGGGGAAGTCCCCAGCCCTGCTGCTCCCAGCTGCACCCAGAGCCCAGGCCGTGGCCAAATTCCCCTGCGTGCTGCAGGCTCCACATTTCTCCAGCCAAAGGACTCACCAGGAGTGGCAGTTCTTGTCTGAGGGCACCACTGCGCCTGGCCGGTAGGACTTCCCATGGACGTGGCACGGTGGTGGCGGAGGTGGGGTTGGGCAGGTGGCCACACACTGCATCTTGTCCTCATCAAAGATGGGAGCCTCTGGTGGGCACTTGGGGTAGCAGCCTGCGGGCCAGAGAGGCCAGAGTCACAACCAGACCGAGCGTCTGGTGCCTCGCCCTGGAGGGCTCCGCCCAGCCCCCAAGCAGTGGGCCTCGCTGACAGCACCGGAATGTGCTGGAAGCTGGGGCCACACAGGCTCCTCGAGGGACCAGGAGAAGGCCACGGGCGGCGGAGCGCAGGCCAGCCCCTCCCAGCCAGCCCCAGCCCACCTTCCAGGCCCCGGACGTCCTGCGGGCAGTCTCCGCGAGGGTTCCGGCAGGTCCGCAGGCAGGGCACCCCGCAGGGCTGGTAGTGCCACTCGCACTGGCCTTCCGGGTTGTAGTAGTCACAGAACAGAGCTGCCGGGAGGAGGGAAGGGCTCGGTGGGGCCCCAGGCGCTCACTCGGGGAGGCCCTGCACCCCGCGGCTGCTCTGAAGCCGCTTCCCTCCCCTGCGCCTCCCGGCCATCGCAAGATGGGGACGGGGAGAGGGGGCCAGATCGGCACCCCCCAGTTATCAGGGTGCCACGGAGGCTGCAGCAGAGTGGGGGTCTCCAGCCGGAACAGCTCCAGCAATGCCTGTTCCTGGCAAGGTTCCGTGTGGGCTAGAGCTGGGCAGCTCTGCTGACCCCTCTGCCCAGAACATTCTACCACACCAGCGACCCCTCGTCAGCCACACCCTCCTCTCTGGGCCCAGGTGTTTCTGTTTCTTTGGAAACCTTCCCCGGCGCCCCCACCCATCAGTAGTGAGGGTGGTGGGACACACCCTGCTGGCACTTCCTGTTCTGCCCCGGGCGCCCGCTCGCACTCACGGCAGATGCTCGGGGTCCGCCAGGACACACACAGGCCCGCTTCACGGCAGGCCTGGGCGTAGGCAGCCACAGCCGTGCAGAAACACTCGCAGTCACCCCCTGAGTCGCAGGCACATGCGTCGTTCACACAGGCCTCGTAGTACCTGGCTGGCTCCACCTGAGGGAGACAGGGCTTCAGGTTCCAGGGACCCCCCGACCCACCCCGCGGGCTCTTGGGGACCGGGCCCACACTGGCATATTGACCAGGACCGAGTTCCAGTGGAGCTCAGGGAGGGCAAATGTCCATCCCCAAGTGGCCAGCTGGGCCCATCTGGATATCCACAGGGCCCAGGGCTTCCTTGGCAGCCCTTGGGGTTAACACCCCCCAGGGCCCCGAAACCACAGCTGACAGGTGTCAGAGCTGGACGCCCAGCCCCTCTAGGCGAGTCCACACCAGCGCCAGCGCCAACCCCAGCAGCCCACACCCTTGATTGGCAGCTGTCCCCCAGCCCCCCATTCCCTTCACCCTTCTGGGGCCTCCTTGGGTCTCCATGACCCCCTTGGGCCCTGAGAAACGCCCCCCAGCCAGCATACGTGTGCGTGGCAGGCGGCAAAGGTGGGGCCGTGGAGGATGCTGCACTGCTTCTGGGCCCAGGACTTGCGGAAGGGGTTGGCCGTGCAGGGGTCCTTGGCTGCCAGGGCATCTGGGCAGGACGGAGAGAGCTTCCAGCTGTTCCCGAACTCCAGCACGTCCCCCACCACAGACTGGCTCCGTGTGGCAAAGTCGTTGACGGCAATGTCATCGAAGTTCCCGCACAGGCCACAGACCCTGCTCTGCAGAGGTACCGGGAGAGGTGGAGGTGGGTGCAGCAAACCCAGAAGACTAGGGCCCCCCTGCGCCTCGGCCGCCTCCTCCCACCCAGGGCCCCCCGACCCATGGCCGACTCCTCCCACCCAGGGACCCCCTGCCCTGCAGCCGCCACCTCCCACCCAGGCGACTGACAGCGACCACAGGCACTGCTTCCTCTTTCCCACCTCCAGCTACACCTGGGGAGGCCCCGGGCACTGCAGCTGAGCACCGAGGGCCAGGGCCAGACACAAGCCCCTCCTGGAGAAAAAGGAGCTGATGTGGCCTCGAAGGACCTGCCTAAGTCCTGATCCCAGTGCCTGTGCATGGCACCTCACTGGGAGATGGGATCTTGCAGGTTGAGGTAATGACTGGGTCCTGAATCCAATGCCTGGTGTCCTTATAAAAGGAAAACTTAGACCCAGTCACAGGGAGGAGGCTGCATGAAGACAGGGGCGGTGATCCGAACGGTGTGGCCACAGTCGAGGAGTGCTGGGGTCCCCAGCAGATGCAAGGGGCCAAAAGGAGCCCCCCAGAGCCTTCTGAAAGAACTCGGCCCAGTGGATGCCCTGCTGGACTTCCAGTGTCCAGGCTGCGGGCAAATCCGCCAGGGTGCGGGCCTTTGCTCTGGCCCCAGAACACGGACACCCAGCCAAGGAATCTCCTGACCTGCTGCCCTTGCCAAGGCTCCGTCCCCCCCACTTCCCACCCCCCTTCCATCTCTGTGTTTCTGTGTCTCTGTGCCTCTCGTCTCTGCCCACCTGTTCCATGCACCCCACCTCCAGGTTTCCACCTCCAGGTTTCCAGCTGGCCCTGGCCTGGATGAGGGGCGTAGTCTCACCTTGAACTGGGGGCTGAGGTTGATGAAGATGCTGGTCTTCTTGTCCCACAGCAGAACCAGGCCGATGTTGGTGTCCACCACCAGGTAGATGCCCATCTGCCGGATGGTGTATGGCACCTCCTGGCTCTCGTTCGTCCCAGTCACCTCCACCTTCCCGTGGCTCAGCTTCAGCTCGGAGTCCTGCATGGCAAGGGGTTGCTCAGGGCCCCCAGCGAGAACCCCAGCCCACCTGGCCAGGCAGTGCCAGGGGAGCCTCCCGGAGGGCATGCAACCGCCCGGCCTCACTCACCCCCAGGAAGATCTTGATGGCCTTGGAGCAGGTGGTCCCCGTGGTGCCGCAGGGGACGTTCTCAGTGACGACACGGAAGGAGTCCTGCGCGCTGCCTTTCCCACCACAGTGGTTCTGGGGAAACAGAGGCCATCAAGGACCAGGCCGGCCCCGCCCTCCTTTCCACAAGGAGGATGGGGCGGGTTCAACCTGTGTGCACCCTGGGGCAACTGCAGACAGGCAGTGAGCAGCTGTGGGTCGCAGGGACCGCCGTGAAGACCCCAAACGCGCCAGCTCACCTGCACCAGCATGTACTCGCAGTCTCCGTTGAAGCTGTAGCTCTGCCCATCGAAGGTGAGGTAGTGGCCATCCCCGTACACAGCACAGGTGGCCAGGCAGGGGTCATCTGTACACCGCCACATCCTGCTGTCACAAGTGCTGGGGGACATTTGGGGGTCAGGCTAGAGCACCCACAGGGTGCCTGCCTGGCTGGGTGCAGCCTTCCTACCCCCAGGGGGACCTAGCACCACAGACACGCGCCCACTGGGCCTCCCTGGCTGGGGCTGCTGGGAGCATCCAGCCCTGAGTCTGTGCCCTGCGTTTTCCCGGGACCCCTGTGCTGGGGGCTCGCCTGTCTCTAAGGAGGGCCTCTGGTACCCTGAACCTGACACGCCCCATGGGCTTTGAGCCCCCCGCATACCAGGTATTGCAGCCAACCCGGATGGTCTGGCCGGCCCGGTAGCTGGCCTCGTTGTGCACGCAGGGGCAGTCCTCCACAGTGATGCAGTTGCCCTCGCCGTCTGCCACCAGCCCATCGGGGCACACGCAGCCAGGCACACACTGGGGGCTATACTGCAGGGACCAGCAGACACCGCTGAGTGATGGAGCAGGGCACGGGACCTGCCAGGTCCTCCCAGGGACAGCTCACCCGTGCTACAGTGGAGGGACCACAGGACCAGAGAGTCCGGGAGCCCATGGGTCAGGGTCCTCTGGGACGTGGGGCAGCCCATGGCCTCATATATCAGAGGCTCACCACTGCCCACCCTGGGGGCAGGCACCCTTAGCAGGCAGGGGTGGATGGAGGGTCTGTCATTGGGGAGTCCTCAGGGGCTTACACAGGTCATGTCCAGGGTGTGGCAGCTCTTCTGACAGCCGGCCCCCGTGTCCCCAGGCGTGGCATTGTGGCAGTCGAAGAACACCATGGGCGCAGCACACACTGGGGAGGGAAGGGCCGTGAGGGGGCCCAGCCACAGGCTGTTGCAGTGCCTCAACTATGTGTTCAGGGAGGACGTGTCTGTGCCGTGTGCGTGTGCATGAGTGGGTGCGTGTGCATGAGTGGGTGTGTTAGCATTGCATCAGTGGGTGTGAGTGCTTGTCCGTGAGTGGGTGCGTGTGCATGAGTGGGAGTAAGTGCGTGTGCATGAGTGGGTGTGTGTATATGAGTGGATGTGAGTATGCATGAGTGGGTGAGCATGTCCATGAGTGGGTGTGTGAGCATTGCATAAGTGGGTGTGAGTGCTTGTCCATGAGTGGGTGCGTGTGCATGAGTGGGTGTGTGAGCGTGTCCATGGGTGGGTGTGTGAGCATTGCATAAGTGGGTGTGTGTGTGCATGAGTGTGTGTGTGTGCATGAGTGGGTATGAGTGTGTGTGCATGAGTGGGTGCATGTGCATGAGTGGGTGGGTGTGTGCATGAGTGGGTGCGTGTGCATGAGTGGGTATGAGTGTGTGTGCATGAGTGGGTGTGAGAGCATGTGCATGAGTGTGTGTGCATAAATGGGTGTGTGCATGAGTGGGTGTGAGTGTGCATGAGTGGAGGTGACTGCATATTCATGAGTGGGTGCGTGTGCATGAGTGGGTGTGAGTGTGTACATGAGTGAGTGCGACAGCGTGTGTATGAGTATGAGTGTGTGTGCATGAATGTGTGTGCATGAGTGGGTGTGTGTGAGTGGGTGTGTGTGCATGAGAGGGTGTGAGTGCATATTCATGAGTGGGTGCGTGTGCATGAGTGGGTGCGGATGCATGAGAGGGTGTGAGTGAGTGTGCATGAGTGTGTGAGTGTGCATGAGTGGGTGTGAGTGCATATGCATGAGTGGGTAAGCGCGTCCATGAGTGGGTGTGTGAGCATTGCATAAGTGACTGTGAGTGCGTGTGCATGAGTGGGTGTGTGTGCATGAGTGGGTGTATGAGCATGTGCATATGTGTGTGCATGAATGGGTGTGTGTGCATAAGTGGGTGTGAGTGCATGTGCATGAGTGGGTGTGTGCATGAGTGGGTGTGTGCATGAGTGGGTGCGAGCGTGTGTGTGAGTGGGTGTGTGAGTGTTGCATAAGCGGGTGTGCATGTGCATGAGGGTGTGAGGGGGTGTGCATGATTGGGTGTGTGAACATGTGCATGAGTGTGTGTGTGCATGAATGGGTGTGTGTGTGCATGAGTGGTTGTGAGTGCATGCACATGAGTGGGTGTGAGTTCGTGTGCAAGAATGGATGTGTGAGCATGTGCATGAGTGGGCGTGAGTGGGTGTGTCATGTGTGCGCCCACACCCTCCTTTCTTCCCGCTTGCTGCCCAGAGGGCACAAACCATGCCTGACATCGAGCGGCTGATCAACAACCACCAGCCCCGTTGACTTGCCGTGGGACTAACCCTGAAGCCATTTTTCAGGATTTCTTATGGAGATGATGAGGCTGGGGTCCCCAGTGCCTCCTTTCTGGCACTCACCTGGGGTGGGGGCTTGGCCTCCGATGCAGCTCAGCTTCCCATGTGTGCAGGTGCTGTGAGGAGACGGTGGTCAGAGCCTCACCCTGGGCCAGCAGGTGCCAGGGACCCCCAGTCCACAGCGGGAGCTCTTACCAGACAGCCCCACTGTCGTGCACCGACTCCCCATTGGGGATCACGGAGCCCCTGTGATAGCAGGGACAGTTGCTGGCCTGCACACACTTGCCCGTGTCGTCCAGGAAGGTGCCCTCGGGACAGATGCAGCCATCCACCGGGATAAAGCCAACACTGCAGGTGATGTCCCCCTCACTCAGAGAGCGGCAGGTGGGCTGGCAGGTGCTGACATTGTAGTGGTAGGTCATTGACTTGGGGCAAGTGGTCATAGGCTTCGCTGCAGGATGCCAGGAAGAGGGAATTCTCAGGACACAAAGCTCAGCAGTGGGCAGCCAGCAGCGAGTGACCCCAGCCCTCTCAGCTACCCTCCCCTCCCCTCCTCGGCCGGGTCCAAGGCCACACTGACCTGGGCACTCCTTGCCCTCGAGCCCAGCACAGAGGATGGGGACCCTTAGAGCACCCCAGTATCCGTGGCCACCCAGTGTGGGAAAGGGGCTGGGCTTGGCGGGAACTCACTGCAGACGCCGTTCCTCCAGCCACTGAGCTGCACACCCTTGGCAGCACAGGCATGCACATAGGAGGACAGCACGGCGCACAGGCAGTCCTCGCTCCGCTCACAGTTGCAGGTGTCAAACATGCAGTTCTGTGGGGAAGGGGGGCATCAGGGCATCAGAGACCCCAGCCCACACCTGGTGGTCCCCCACGCCCTGCAGGCCACACATCCAGCAGCCAGGGTCCTCCCGTCCCGGGTCTTCCTGCCTCCAGGACCCCTCCCTGAGTCCTCACAGGCATCCCATCCCCTCAGCAGAACCACTTGGCATGTCATGCCGCAGAACCACCGTGCAAAGCAGGGGTTGTTGGGAGGACCAGGTCCTTCATCTCTGTGACCCAACAGGTCCAGCCATGCCCAATTTGCCTCAGACACAGCGCATCAGCTCAGCCTTGGCCTAATTTCCATTTGGCCCCTGGGGCCAGGGGGGCAACAAATCCCTGAAGTTTAGCCCCTGTGCCTAGTGTAGGGCTGGAGGTGCAAGAAAAACACCATAAACGTGGTTAATGAATGAGTGAGTGAAGGGATGAATTAAGGAATAAGTAAGTGAGAGGATGAGTGAGTGAATAAGTGAGTGAATGAGTGAGTGAGTGGATGAGTGAGTGGATGAGTGAGTGAGTGAACGAGTGAGTGGATGAGTGAGTGAGTGAATGAGTGAGTGAGTGAATGAATGAGTGAGTGAATGAGTGAGTGAGTGGATGAGCGAGTGGATGAGTGAATGAGTGTATGAGTGAGTGAGTGGATGAGTGAGTGAGTGGATGAGTGAATGAGTGAATGAGTGAGTGAGTGAATGAGTGAGTGGATGAGTGAGTGGATGAGTGAGTGAGTGAATGAGTGGGTGGATGAGTGAGTGAGTGGATGAGTGAGTGAGTGAATGAGTGAGTGGATGAGTGAGTGAGTGAATGAGTGAGTGGATGAGTGAGTGAGTGAATGACTGAGTGGATGAGTGGGTGAGTGAATGAGTGAGTGAGTGGATGAGTGAGTCAGTGGATGAGTGAGTGAGTGAATGACTGAGTGGGTGAGTGAGTGAATGAGTGAGTAGATGAATGAATGAGTGGATGAGTGAGTGAGTGGATGAGTGAATGAGTGGATGAGTGAGTGGATGACTGAGTAGATGAGTGGGTGAGTGAGTGAATGAGTAGGCGAAGGAATCAGTGAGTAAATGAGTGAATGAGTGAGTGAAGAAATTCGTGAATGAGTGAGTAAATGAGTGAGCGGATGAGTGAATGAGTAAGTAGATGAGTAGGTGAAGGAATTAGTGAGTGGGTAAATGAGTGAATGAGTCAGTGAAGAAACGAATGAATGAGTGAGTGAAAAAGTGAGTAAGTGAATGAGTGAGTGAATGGGTGAGTGAGTGAGTGAGTGAATGGGTGAGTGAGTGAGTGAGTGAATGGGTTAGTGGGTGAGTGAGTGAATGGGTGAGTGGGTGAGTGAGTGAATGGGTGAGTGGGTAAATGGATGAATGGGTGAGTGAGTGGATGGGTGAACAGGTGAACGGGTGAGTGAGTGGGTGAATGGGTGGGTGAGTGGGTGAGTGGTGAATGTGTGAATGAGTGAATGGGGGGGCTGGGGATGTGGGGAATGGAGCTGGACAGACAGGCTGGGTCCCAGCCCCCGGTGCCCATCACAGCCTAGAAAGGTTGGTCCTGACTGCCGAGCCCCCCCAGTGCCCTCCCAGCCCTCTTGGAGGCAGCCGTGAGGCTCAGTGGCCGGAGCCCCACTGGGCCAAGAGGCGGCAGATGTTACCGAGTAGTAGGTGTCCGGCTTCACGGCAGCGTGGCACCGGCTGAAGGGGCCATTGGCATCGGTCAGCTGCGAGCACCAGTGCTGAGCATACTTCTCTGTGGACAGAGGAGGGTTAGGGTTAGGATTAGGATCAGGCAGCACACTCATCCCACCCAGCTTGGCCCCTGGTGTGGGGTTTGGGGCACCAGCTTCTCTGGGCAGTCTGGCATTGGGCCCTACATCCTGCTACACACTCAGCCCGGGTGGTGCAGTGCCCTCCCCGAGGGAAAGCTCCCCCAAGCGCAGGGTACAATGCCCTCTCGTTTCCTGCATGTCCCACCCAGCCCCTCACAGCCTTTCACAGTGCCGCCTTCCAGGGATGCTAGTGACCCCCACTCTGGACAGACAAACTGAGGCCCTTCTGGCCCCTCCACTGGGCTCACTGGACCCAGGCTTCCCAGGCTGCAGGAAGCAGGCCAGAGCCAGCGAGATAGGATCACACTTCCCCACGGCTGGCGCCCGAGCTCCGAAGGCAGAGTGAATGACTGAGTGAGTGAGTGAGTGAGCGAGTAAGTGAGCGGATGAGTGAGTGGATGAGTGAGTAGGTGAGTGGGTGAATGGGTGAGTGAGTGGGTGAGTGAGTGGGTGAGTGGGTGGGTGACTGGGTGAATGGGTGAATGGTTGAGTGGGTGAGTAGGTGAATGAGTGGGTGAGTGAGTGAGTAGGTGAGTAGGTGAATGAGTGGGTGAGGTGAATGGTTGGCGAGGTGGGTGAATGGGTGAGTGAGTGGGTGAGTGAGTGGGTGGTGGAAGGTGGGTGACTGGGTGAATGGGTGAATAGTTGAGTGGGTGAAGTAGAGTAGATAGTGAGTGACTAGTGGTAAGTGAAGTGGGTAGTGGGTGAGTGGGTGAATGAGTGAGTGGGTGAGAGGGTGAATGGGTGGTGGTGAATGGTTGAGTGGGTGAATGGGCCAAGTGAGTGGGTGAGTGGGTGAGTGGGTGAGTGAGTGAGTAGGTGAGTGGGTGAGTGGGTGAGTGGGTGAATGAGTGGGTGAGAGGGTGAATGGGTGAGTGAGTGAATGGTTGAGTGGGTGAATGGGTGAGTGAGTGGGTGAGTGAGTGAGTGAGTGGGTGACTGGGTGAATGGGTGAGTGAATGAGTGAATGGTTGAGTGGGTAAGTGAGTGAGTGGATGAGTGAGTGAGTAGGTGAGTGGGTGAGTGGGTGAATGAGTGAGTGGGTGAGTGAGTGGGTGAATGGGTGAGTGAGTGAATGGGTGAATGGGTGGGTGAGTGGGTTAATCCATTCCCCACATCCCCACATCCCCACCACCCCACGCCGTGCAGGGGTAGGCGGTCAGGGCCGATATCGACCAACAGAGACTTGCACCCTTTCTTTGACCCTGAAGCAGGTGCCCCACATTCCTGAAGCTCCATATAAGCCGGGCGAGGCGCCCACCATGAGCCTGTCCTTGGGCCCCTTCATGAGCCACCCCACCTGGCTCACAGGCACACGTAGGGCCGGCCTCCACGCTGCCTGCAGTGCCAAATGGAAGCGGGAGAACCAGCGCCAGGCGCCCAGCACAAAGGCGAGCTGAACGGACACACGTACCGTTCTCCACACTCAGGGAGCAGGGGTCTTCGAAGCTGTTCCTGATGTTGGGACAGGCGGCCTGGGTCTTGAAGGTGTTGAAGAAGGCCGCGGCCGTGGCCTCCACCACCCCACTGAGGGTCCGGAAGTCATCAGCCTGGATGCTGTTGAAGTTCCCACAGAGACCTGGGGGTGGGTTAGGCAGGTTGAGGGCCATGTGCCCCGGCCAGAGTGGGTGGGCTCCAGGCCCCGAAGGCAGCCCTCTTACCGCAGGTCTGCCCTCGGAGCTTGGGCGCCAGCCGCACGAACAGTTGCATGGTGGGTACCAACTGCAGGTCCAGCTGCAGGCCCAGGCTGGTCTGGGCGATGATGAAGAAGGTCGAAGGTCTGAAGATGGTGACGTTGGCTGGGGACACAAAGGACAAGGGTTTTGCTGGGGGTGTGGGGCGGGACCCCAGGCAGCCCGGGGGTGGGGAGGAGGCCGCCACCCTCACCTGCAGAGATGGGCAGCTGGGTGTAGATCTGGTTCAGGAACACTTCCCCGCTGGCCTTGATCACCACCACCTGAGGGCGGCCAGACAGACTTGTGAGCGCGGGGCAGGCTCGCCGCACTCAGCCCCACGGAGGCTGTGAAATGTGCCTGCAGGTGCCTGGGAGGCCTTTGCCTGTGGCTGTGGGTCCTACAAGGTGGTTTTGTGCTCGCCCTGATTTTCTGAGTTTTCTGTGAGGACCATGCTTTTTATTCTTTAGTAAAAACCAAAGTTATTCACTAAACGTAAACTGACTTCAGCGGAGAAGCCGAGCTGGCCGCAGATGCACCCAGTCCCTCCTTCCCGGGGCCCCTCGGGTCGGGTAGGATGGCCCGGGCGGCCGGCCCTGAGCTGCTCCTTTACGGACAGTCATGTGGACCCATAAGTAATGGATGCAGCCAGTGTTGCCGGAGGATCCCCACCTCTTGCTGTTCACGCTGAGGACGAAGGGCTTGGGCAGAGGTGACTTGTAGAAGAGACAGGCCCCTTCTCCCCTTCCCAGGGTTTGCCCTGCCAGGCTCCACTCACCGTCTGCGCCCCGTCCAGGCTCAGTGTCACGCTCTTCAGGCAGGTCTCGCTGTCCGTCAGCCCACACCTGCGCAGCTCAGCCAGTACAGTGAAGGCACTGCTGTCACAGGGCTGCAGAACCGGACACACCAGGGGTCCTCACGCTCCGCCCAGCGCCCAGCCCGCCTGGCCCTGCCCCTCCACCCGGCTGTGCTCCTCTCCCTTACTAGAAACCCCCACTCCAACATCCCAGCCCCCGAGAGGGAGGTGTGCTAGGAGGCCGCCAGGTGTGGACACCGAGGCACACAGAGAAATCTGCATGCACCCTGGGGAGGCCACACTCTGCGACGCCAACCACAGGACCCTCTGGGAAGGACAGCTCTCAGAAGGCACAAATGTCAGTGGATGGCAGGGGCTGGGTGAGGGAGGGGTGAGGAGGCCGAGCTCCAAGGGGTTTGAGGGCAGTGGAGCCGACTGTGTGAAACTGCCTGGCAGGAACAGGACACTGCACGTCTGTCCGAAGCTGCGGAATTTCACCACCACAAGGGGCCCTGATGTCAACCGTGACCTGGGAGGTGAGGGCGCCAGCGACCTGGGAGGTGAGGGCGCCAGTGACCTGGGAGGTGAGGGTGCCAGTGCAGGCTCTACCCCAAGGCAGGGTCTCATCTTGGGGAGACTGTGTACTGGGTGCTGTGTATCATCTGGGGAGACTTTGTGTTGGAGCGGGAGTACTTTGGGCTCAATTTCTTTGTAAACCTGAAACTATTCTCAACAGTAAAGTCTTAAATAAATAGCCCAAGGTGTGGAGGGCCCAGTGCTGGGTGGGACTGGAGGCTCTGGTCTGCAGCCTTCATGCCCCTGTGGGGCCCAGCCCTGGGTGTGGTCTGCAGCCTTCATGCCCCTGTGGGGACCAGCACTGGGTGGGGCTGGAGGCTCTGGTCTGCAGCCTTTGTGCCCCTGTGGGGACCAGTGCTGGGGAGCTGGGGTGCTTCCTTGAGGTCTCACCATCAGGGACCCCCAAGGGTCACCCCAGGGGCAGCAGTGACAGGTAGCCAAGCTGTGGGAGCCTGTGGGAGGCTGGCCGTGGGCCCCCTTTGTCCAGCGAGCGCCCCAGGCAGCCAGTGCCTACCTTGGTCAACACATAGCCACAGTCCCCGTGCACCGTGTAGTGCCTCTCGTCAAACGTCGAGAAGTGGGCACCTCCAAGCACGGAGCAGGTACCCGGGCATGGAACCTCCTGGCAGCTCCACCGGCCTCCGGAGCAGGTGCTGAGAGCAAGAGATGGTGCCGTGTGGTTGCTGGCCCCAGGAGACCAGCCTCCAGCCTCCGTGTCGGGAGGTTGACCGGGTCTCACCCAGGCCTGCCTACATCACAGCCCGGATGAGGGACGCCTGCTGGCCTGGGTCACAGCCCCCAGCGGGTCCGTCCCATAGCACATCCTGGGGGCCTGGAGGGGGGCCGGGACCTACCAGTTGGTGCAGTCTGTGGAGTAGGTGGCCCCCGGGGCATAGGCAGTGCCGTTGTAGACGCAGGCACACTGTGACGCAGGGACACAGCCGGTCTGGCCGATGTCATCGAGCACCGTCCCTGCATGGGTCAGGCAGGCCTATGATGGGCTCCTGCTGTCTCCATGTGGTGGGTGTTGCAGGGGAGCAACATGGCAGCCCTACAGCAAGCTGAGGCCTCAGCCAGCCTCAGGGGCCTGGGACATCTCAGGCTAGGGGTCTCAGCCAGCCTCAGGGGCCTGGGACAGGGGCCTCAGCCAGCCTCAGTGGCCTGGGACATCTCGGGCTAGGGGTCTCAGCCAGCCTCAGGGGCTGGGGACATCTTGGGCTAGGGGCCTCAGCCAGCCTCAGGGGGCCAGGACACTAGGACTGGGATCCTTCTTTTGAGGCTTGGCCATGGGAGCACAGCCCCCTAGTTCCCAGGGTGCGTCTGTGTTTCCCAGGGGCGGGGGAGCCTCACCCTCAGGGCAAAAGCAGCCAGCCACACAGTGGTCCTCGCAGGCCCGGGAGTGCTCCTGGTTGGAGCAGGTGTCTGTGCAGGGGGAGCGGCACTCGTGGTACTGCATGTTGCTGGGGCACATCTGGGCTGTGGGAGGCAGAGACACAGCTCACGTCTGCCCGCCCCGGCCCTCCCTGCCAGAGGGGTTGGGGGACAGGGGGCCGGGACACTCACGGCAGAGGTCAGGGCCCCGCCAGTCCTGGGGCAGCCCCCCGGCGTGGGCGCACTGCCGGGAGTACTCCGCGAGGGTGTGGCAGACGCAGCTGAGCAGGTCGGTGCCTCCGCAGAAGCAGAGGTCTTGCCTGCAGGCCTCCAGGTAGCTGCCGACGTCCACCAGGGCCACACAGCTGGAGAACAGCTGACCATTTAGGAGCTCCTCGCAGATGCCCTAGGGCAAAGGCCACAGCCCGTCTGAGTCCTCAGTGGGGAATCTGGACCAGTTCCGGGCTCACAACCCCTCCTCCTCACCCTGCCGGGCCCCTGTTCCCTCCAGGGCTTACAGATCCAGTGGAGCAGTTCCTCGGGGGTTCAGGGACAGGGTCCTCACACTGCTCCGTGGGGTCATCCATCTTCTGCAGGTTCCCAAACTCCATGGGAGTCAGCTTGATGTCTGCAGGAAGCATGGAGGTGGGCTCTGCCTGCAGGTCCCAGTACCCCTCAGCCCAGCACCCCAGCAGCAGAGCCCCCACGGCCGGGTCCCTGGGGTGGGGTTAGAAGGGCCATCGGTGGCTCCTGTCCCCTCTGGATGCCTGAGTTGTCCTGGCTGCACCTGCTTGGCCGCCCCATGCATGCTGCAGGACCCTCAGGGGGTCTGGAATGATGGAGAGAAACAGCCCAGGAGGTTGGTGTCCAAGTCACAGGGGGCTGCTGGCTGAGTCCTCAACTGACCCAGGACTCTGGTCTCCTCCTGCCAGGCTGGCGGGAACCTGAGCACCTCCCAGTCCACAGAACCCAGCCAACCCAGCGCTGGGCCTGCCTTGCCAAGGGCTGCTGGACACCCAGGCAGACTCAGTTCCCCACAGAGGGACACCCTGTACTCGGGGCTTGTATGGGGCTTCACAGGCCCGGCAGGGGGAGGTGGGGAGTGGAGCCTTGGCTGGTGCAGGTCACATTTGCAAGGCCACAGCCTGGTGACAAAGACTCAAAGACCAGGAAGGAGGCAGGTCTGTCATTTCAGGAGAGGGCGTGTGGTCAGGGGTCACCACCCAGAGCAGCCACACAGAGCAAGGGGCTCAACAGGCGATTTGCTCCCAGCGTGCACCCCTGAGACAGGCTGGCATTTGGGGATCGCGTGTGTACACGTGTGTGCTGTGCTGGGAGGGAGGGCAGCTGCCTCCATGCATCTGTGCGTGTGTGTGCCGGAGCGTCGGAGGGTGTGTGTGCACACAACACTGAGCCCCCAGGGGACACTGAGGAAGGGGCTGATGGCGCCATGGGGCCTTACTGTGGGAGAGGAACTCGCTGACCACGGGCATCCCGTTGAAGTCTCCACAGAGCCCACAGGTCTTGTTGGCATATTTGGCGTCCAACTCCAGCTGCAATGGAGGAGACATCAGACACTCGTCCCCACCAAGGGCGGATGGACAGATGAGGCTCAAGCCTGAGATTTCCGAGGAGGGGCCGAGGCCCACGGAGGAGACACCCCCAAAAGCAGTCTCCATCCTGGGGGCACAGACCCTGGGACAGCATTGGTGTCTGGGCACCTGTTCTTGCCTGCTGTGTGGGGTGGGGTCTGACCCTGACTGGGCCCAGGGCACCTTTCACCCTCTCTGGAGAGGCTGTGGGAGCGGGCCAGCCCTCGAGGGCTGGAGGTGGACACCAGGACACCCCCACCCCCCAGCCTCACCAGCAGGCTGTCATCGTGGTTCCACATGAGGACAAGGCCCAGTCTGGCCTCCACCTTGGTGTAGCTGCTGCTCTGCTGAATGAAGACCCCAGACTGGCTGAAGGGCAGCAGGACCCTGCGGAGGGAGGCAGGGCTGAGGGGCTGGGAGCACCGTTAGGAGAGATCCCAGGCAGGGCAGATGCCTGTGGTTGCAAATGGGACACGGTCATGGTGACCATGAAGTCACGTCTGGGATGGGGACAGTGACTTCTGGAGCTCTGCAGTCACAAGAAGCTAGGAAGGGACAGAATAAGAGCCTGGGGATCCCAGGAGGGGATCCATCTCAGTGGGCCAGCTCGGGGGACCAGGGAGGACCCATGTCCAGCTCCACTCTCAGGGGCTTGCCAAGAAGTACACATCCTTCCCAGGACTGCCGTGCCCCCGTGACCCCCCAGAAACGCCGTCCCCACACGCCGCGGGGCCCCCACCATCCGAGAGCCCAGACTCACGGGTGGCCGTTGACCAGGACGGAGCCCTTGGTCAGCTGGATGACCACGCCATCCACCTTCATGAGGACCCTGCTCAGCGTGGGGGCTGCTGACTCCTGGCTGCGGCGCAGCTGGACGTTGAAGTCCTCGTAGGCAGCGCCGCAGTGCTCGGAGAACACGTAGTTGCAGAGGCCGGGGAAGCGGAAGACGTCGCCGTCGAAGGTCTTGTAGTGGAAGTTGCCCCAGGTGCTGCACACCCGCCCGTTGTGTGCCGGGTTGGAGGCTACAGTGGAAGCAGCATGGCGTTTGGGAGCGTCGCCCTCACCCTCACCCTGCACCCCTGCCCCTGCCCTGCACCCCTGCCCCTGCCCTGCACCCCCTGCCCCACCCCAGTGTCCTGCAGGAGGTGCTGCTGCCCTGGACGGGGCACCCAGGGGTCCTTCCTGTGTCTGAGAAGTCCCAGAAACGTGTGCAGGGAGGTGCTAGCCCTCTGGTTCCAATACCTACCCAGTGGCTCCAATACCTACCCAGTGACTACCTGGAAAGCTGGGGCCCCTCTCCACCAGGCACCTCCAGGCCTGAGCGGGGAGTTCAGCAAAGCTATGCCCCTTTCCCACCCAGGCCTCGGGGCTCCACTCACCTCGTACCACGGGGATGGTCCTCAGAGGCGGGAAGAGAGTCACCCCACGGGGCGGGACCCCTGCGGAAACAGGGACTGGTAGGATGCACACACGGCCCCCAGGTGGGGCAGGGCTTCTGAGCCAGAGATGTTCCAGCATCCGTGGGTCCCGGCTCCTGGCTCTGAAACCAACTCTGGATTCTGCCGCGTGTTGCCCCCGCCCCCCATCTACCATCTGCTCCTTGTGTGTTTGCAGCTGCACACCCTGAGTTCCATCTGCACATTGTGTGTTTGCGGCTGCACACCCTGAGCCGCACAACCTGAGTTCAGTGTGACTTTCTGCTTCCTCCCGGCTGTCACCAGGAAGAAGCCCTGGGGGCTGCCAGCTCTCACACCCATGGGCCTCAGAACCTGAGTCTGCATCAGCGGCTCAAGACAGTCTCTTGGGTGCTGAGATTAGGCACATCTGGCCCGATTTGGAGAAATGCAATCTAAGAGTTTGCCAGAAGCCCCCCACTCTGGCTGCCCTCGCCTGCCCCGCCTCTGCCAGGGCTGCTGGGCCCCCACGGGCTCCCACTAGCACAATCCACACTGGGACGGCCGGCGCCAAGGGAGATACCTGTGTTGCTGAAGTGCCAGGAGGTGAACGGGGGGACACTGAGGCAGGACCCAGCTCCAGATCCCTGGAGGGTGGCGGGCACCCACAGGACATGGGCACAGCCAGCCTGCCCCACCCTGCAACTCCTTCAGAGCCTGAGCGCGGCAGGGGGCTGGCCCAAGGACAGGCAGGTAGTGTGACCGACCAGGGTCATGGATGTAGGGTGTCCTCCTGTCCCCGCAGGTTTGGTCCTCAGCGGTGGCCAGCGGGGGAGCCTCCCTAAAACCAGTGCCCCTGGGAGCCCTGCCACGCAGTGGAGGGTGGAATCTGACAGGCTTAGGGTGGGGGCCGGACGCTCAGACTCACCACCAGGCCCCTGGGCGATGGGAGAGACGGCAGGGTGGTGCTCGTAGCTGGATTCGGAGGAGCCGTCCTGGGCATGGCCTGCAGAAAGAGGAGGGGGGCTGAGCCCAGATGCAGGGTGGCTGAGGGGGCTCAGGCTGCGACCACAGATGCAGCGCGGACACCAGAGGATCAGGAGGCCATGGTGTGTGCAGGTGGCCTGTGGTGAGGGCTCTCTCTGTGCTGGGTCGGAGGTCCTAGGGGGCCTCTGTCCATGTGAGTCGGAAGTCTGAGCCCAGACCCTCCAGGAGCATCCCCTCAACCTGGCCCCATGGAACAGGTGGTGTCGGGACCCTTTGCCCCAATCTGGCATCCCCATCTATTCATTCGCACTCACTGCAGAGCATCCTAGGCCCTGGCCTCCACACTCGGGACCCCCGCCCACTACAGTGATCCCACTGAGGGGCTGGAGCAGTCAAACGCATGGGAGGGGTCGGCCCCAAGACCGCCTGGAGGACCTTGCCTCCCTACAAGCAGCAGATCTTGCAGGAGGTTGATCTCCAGGGTCCATGGAGACTGTGCAGAATGTCACCAGATCCCAGCCCAGCCCCACACAGCCCCACACATCCCTGCACAGAACCAGCATGGTGGGACCAGCCTCCAGCCCCGCACAGCCCTTCACAGCCCTGCACATCCCTGTACAGAGCCAGCATGGTGACCAGACCCCAGCCCCACACATCCCTGCACAGAGCCAGCATGGTGACCAGCCCCCAGCCCCACACATCCCTGCACAGAGCCAGCATGGTGACCAGACCCCAGCCCCACACATCCCTGCACAGAGCCAGCATGGTGACCAGCCCCCAGCCCCACACATCCCTGCACAGAGCCAGCATGGTGGGACCAGCCCCCAGCCCCGTACAGCCTCGCACAGCCCCACACAGCCCCAGCATGGTGGGAGGGGCGCCTGGCCCAGCCTAGGACCCTGCAGGGAGGGGGTCTTGGGGAAAGCTGTGATTCACCTGCATCCCAGCCCCAGCTTCCCAGTTCCTGCGCCTGACGTAGGGGTCCTCAGGCCAGGCTGGGAGACCCCCCTCACCCCCATACCCTCTGCCCCCAGTGGGGCCCAGCGTATCAAATAAGTCAGTGGGCGGCGGGGCCCTTAGCATCTGCAAGCCCCACTGGGGAGACAGAGACAGTGGCCTGAGCCTCACTTACCCAGTCCTGGCCCAGGCCTGCCCCCACCTTCTGAGCCCCGCAGGCCCAGCCCCAGCCCTGCCCTCTCCTGGGAGCAGCCCTGGGAGAGAATTCCTGCTTCTGAGATGAGAGTGGTACAGACGAGGGATGGGGGGTGCAGGGTCCGGCTGGGCCACAGCCAAGGGCAGCACGGAGACACCGGGAGACAGTTCTTGCTCTGGGACTGCCTGGCAGAGGGCCAGAGGCTGGGGACAGGGCTGGGCGAGGGACCTGGGTGGGCTATGTGGCCGTCTCAGCAGTGCTGAGGTCCCTGCCCTGCTGTTCCAGGAGCCCAGGAGCACCTGCTCCCCCAACCCAACCCCAGGCATTCCCCCAACAGGGGCACATGGTCACCAGCAGACCCAGGCCCAGGTGTCCCCCAGAAGCAGAGGCAGGGACTTACTGGCCCAGCATGGGGCCGTTTAGATCACAGGGCCTGAAGCCTCCCCCGTCACCTTCTTAGCCCCTATCACCCTCTTAGCCCCCATCACCCTCTTAGCCTTAGGCCGGGGGTGAAACGGTTCCCCTGTGGACCTCACCATTACATCCTCGCTCAGAGGCTGAGACCCCCCCAGGAGACCCCCATCGAGGCCCAGACAGGGAACATGAGCTGGTAAACTGGGCACGTGTGGGGTGTGCAAGGGCAGGTGCCTGGGGTTGATGCCCTGACCAGGCCCATCGGGGGCCGTGAGCCGCTGGAGATACTGTGGGCCAGGCACTCTCGGCTGCCGGGGATAAGTGCAGGGATCCAGGTGGGGAAGGGAAGCCGGAGATCTGAGCTCCTGCTTCCCTGCCTCAGGGAATGGCCCAGCCTCAGAGGTCCCTGAAGCCCGGAGATCCCTTCCCAATCCCACGAGGTGGAAACTGCTCGTTGGTGGCCAGGGCCACAGGCAGGGGCTATGCTGCTGGGAGCCGTTCATGGCACATGCCCGGAACCCAGGGCAAAGACTGAGCTGCCCGAGGCCCACTCAGTACCGCACCACCCAGGACTAGTAGAGCGGCCAGGGACTGAGCCGTACCTGTGTGCCGGGTGCAGGCCAGAGCAAGAGCCAGGGTCCAGAGTGGGGTCAGCTTCCTCTGGCCGACACCCATCGTGTGGACGGCGGGGAAGAGTGCCCTGTCCCTCGGCAGCCTCTGAGGAGGGACCCAAGGTTGCAGGAGCCTTTTGTAGCCCCAGAGCTGGCTCCAGCCCCGAGCTTCACATGGGTGGGCGGGGCAGGGCCTGTGGTTCCCCCTCACCCGAGTAAACAGTGGGTGCTCACTGCGGGCTGGCCCGCGGCCGGTGGCAGGCAGAGATGGGTGTGTCTACCAGTTTCCGAGGGCTCCCCCAAGCCCTGGCCTGCAGGGGTTCTCCCCACATACCCCACCCTAGACTCTTCCTGGGCACCGTGCCATGCCCAGCAACCTGTGAGTTCCTGGTGCCCAGAAGTGAGTGCTCAGAACAGCCTTAAGGCACCACTTTGACACTAAAACCCTCTGCAGCAGGACAGGGAGCCCAGCCCAGCCTTTCCCTTTCCTGCCATTCCTCCTGTGGCAGACCTCCTGGTTGGACCCTCCATGTGGGCAGTGGAGCTGCCGACCTTGGCTGGGGAATGTGTGGCTGCCTGGGAGGGAGAGGCCAGCCCCAGCCCAGCCCCAAGCTCCTTATGGTCACCTGTGTCTCCATTTCTGTGCCTTTTCTTCCCCATGTCTGTCTTAGCCCAGGTGCCTGGAGAGAGAGCACTTCATATGTGACAGGAGTGTGGGGAAAGGGAAAATGATTGAGTGAGTGAATGAATGAGTGAATGAGTGAGTGAGTGAGCCAAGGCGTCCCTCAAGCCAGCCACATGCTGCCACTGAAGTGGTGCCAGCCAGCCTCACCCTCCCTAGAGAGAGGCTCCTGGCAGCAGCCTCCAGGCAAGTGGCAGAACCCCTCCCTCACCATGCAGCCCCTCCCAGCATTGCCCAGGAGTCCACCTGTGCTTCAGTCTCCTGGTCCCAGGTGGGCAGGGCCAGTTCCATTCACATGATGGTCTCGGGCCACCCAGATCCAGAAATGCTCAGTACCCTCCAGACAGGAAGCTGTTGACTGGTCCCAGCAGTCCCAGCACAGAAAGGCCCCAGTGAGTCTTTGGCCTGAAGGGCTCTGGCTGAAAAGGTGCTGTTGTGTGATGAACACTTGCCCAGATCACGGGTGTGTGGTAGGACACTGGGGTTGGACTCTCCCTCGCAGGCAGCCACATACTCCCCAGACAAGGTCAGCAGCTCCACTGCCCACATGGAGGGTCCAACCAGGAAATCTCCCATGGGAGGAATGGCAGGAAAGGGAGAGGCTGGGCTGGGCCCTCTGTCCTGCTGCAGAGGGATTAGGATCGAAGAGGTGCCTCCAGGCTGTTCTGAGCACTTGCTTCCAACTCTCCAAGGACCCATCCCAAGCTCCTTATGATCACCTACGTCTCCATTTCTGTGCCTTTCCTTCCCCAGGTCCTGTCTTAGCCCAGGTTCCTGGAAAAAGAGCACTTCATATGTGGCAGGAGTGTGGGGAAAGGGAAAATGATTGAGTGAGTGAATGAATGAGTTAGTGAGTGAGTGAATGAATGAGTGAATGAGTGATTGAGTGAATGGGTGAATGAATGAGTAAATGAGTGAGTAAGTGAATGATGAGTAAATGAGTGAGTAAGTGAATGAGGGAATGAGGAGTGGGAATGAGTCAATGAGTCAGTGAGTGAATGAATGGGTGAATGAATGAGTAAATGAGTGAGGAGTGAATGAGTGAGGCGAATGGATGAATGGGAGTGAGTGAAGGAGCTAATGAGTCAGTGAGTGAGTGAATGAGTGAGTGAATGGGTGAATGAATGAGTAAATGAGTGAGTAAGTGAATGAGGTAATGAGTGAGTGAATGAGTGGATGCGTGAGTGAATGAGTGAGTGAGTGAGTCAATGAGTGAGTATATGGGTGAGTGAATGTGTGAATGAGTGAGTGATTGAGTCAATGAGTGAGTGAGTGAATGAGTGTATGAGTCTATGAGTAAGTGAGTGAGTGAATGGGTGAATGAATGAGCGAGTGAGTGAGTGAGTAAATGAGTGAATGAGTGAGTGAATAAGTGAGTAAATGGGTGAATGAGTGAATGAATGAATGAGTGAATGAGTGTATGAGTGAATAAGTGAGTGAGTGAATGACTGCGTGAATGGGTGAATTAATGAATGAGTGAGTGAGTGAGTGAATAAGTGAGTGAGTGAATGGGTGAATAAGTGAGTAAGTGAGTGGGTGAGTGAGGGAGTGAATGGATGAGTGAGTGAATCAGTGAGTGAATGGGTGAATAAGTGAGTGGATGAGTGAGTGAATGAGTGAGTGAGTGGTTGAGTGAATAAGTGAGTGAGTGAACGGGTGAATGTATGAGTGAGTGAATAAATGAGTGAATGGGTGAATAAATGAGTGAATGAGTCAGTGAATAAGTGAGTAAGTAAGTGAGTAGGTGAGTAAGTGAAGGGGTGAATGAATGAGTGAGTGAGTGAATAAGTGAGTTAGTGAGTGGGTGAGTAAGTGAATGGGTGAATGAATGAATGAGTGAGTGAATAAGTGAGTGAATACGTGAGTAAGTGAATGGGTGAATGAATGAATGAATGAGTGAATAGGTGAGTGAGTGAATAAGTGAGTAAGTGAATGGGCGAGTGAGTGAGTGGGTGGGTAAGTGAGTGGGTGAGTGAGTGAGTGGGTGAGTGTGAGTGAGTGGGTGAGTGAGTGAATGAGTGGGTGAGTGAGTGAATGAGTGAGTGAGTGGATGAGTGAGTGAGTGGGTGAGTAAGTCAGTGGGTGAGTAAGTGAGTGGGTGAGTGAGTGGGTGAGTGAGTGAGTGAGTGGATGAGTGAGTGGGTGAGTGAGTGAGTAGGTGAGGGAGTGAGGGAGTGAGTGAATGGGTGAATAAGTGAGTGAATGAGTGAGTGAGTGGGTGGGTGGGTGAGTGAGTGGGTGAGTGAGTGAGTGAATGGGTGAGTGAGTGGGTGAGTGAGTGAGTGGATGAGTGAGTGAGTGGGTGAGTGAGTGAGTGAATGACTGACTGAGCGAGTGATCACACTGGAAGCTGAGTGGCTGACAGGGTTAGGTGGGCCACCCCAGCCACTGGTGCTTCAGGAGGTCTGACCTGACCAGGTATAGCCAGGGTTCCCCTGAGTCACTGGCCCAGTCCATACCATGACCTCTGAACAGTCTGAGTCACCAGCCTGGCCCTCAGAGGGGAGTGCCCCCTGCGTGTCTAAGGCTGGGCCAAGCCCCAGGGCACCTGGCCAACTGGCCACCCAGGCCTTGCAGCCCCAGCCACAGCTTTCTCCTCCCTCAACCAGATGTCACCCAGGGCCGCTACTGTGGTCCAGGCTGGGGGTGACTTCCCCCCGCCAGTGTTGGTGACCCCTGGCTGTGCTGGGCTTCCTCTTGGGACCTTGGTTCAGGCACCCAAACCTCTGGGCATGGGCCACGGACTGACCGCCTGGTCCCATGAAAACCCCACCAGGCCAAGGCCTCAGGAAGCCTTAAACCAGTGCCTACAGTTCCAGAGCCTACAGCCCCAAGCTCCACACACCCAGAACTTTCCAGAAAACCCACTGGGCCTTGTTTCCGAGCCCTGTAGGGGTTTCCGTCTGTCCCCAGGGGCAGTGAGGTCCTGGCCACGCCACCAGCCTCAGAGGGGAATCTAAGGGTCACTGCAGGCTTCCTGGGACCTCTCAGAAGGTGCAGGCAGGGTCGGCTGAGCCCCGGCGCAGCTGCCTGGCTCCTGAGAACCCTCCCTGAGGCCTAAAGCTCTCAGCGTATGCCCAGGAGTCCCACCCACCGGAGGGCTCCACGCCCCCTCAGCTCCCAGCCCCCCAAGCCTGCACAATAACTCCTCCTGCTGCCTCCCAGCAGGGGCCCTGGCCAGGCCGGCTGGATACCTTCCCCCAGTCTGGGGCCAGTGTCAGCTCTGAGACCAGCAGCCAGGACAGGTGTAAGGCCAGTGACTTGGTCTCAAAATCAGGATCACTCTTCCCCCATGAGCTCCTGACCTCCCGAGGTAGCCGAGCATGGCACTTGCATCTCGGAACCCTGATGCCCCGGGCACCCTGCCCGCAGCACCGACCACTTAGCAGGCATGGCTGCATGTGCGGTCCGGGTGGGGCTGCAGCAGGGGCCTGGGGGCTGGTGATCTGAAAAGCAGGTGCATCCCTTAAAGCAGACCCTGCCTCAGCCCCTGAGAAGGGTGATGACCCCACGGGGCAGGAGTGCACACCCTCCTGACTTGAGCCTGCATGCTCAGGTGAGAGGCACCTTCAGGGAAGGTGTGTGCCCGGGACCAGCAGCTGCCTGTCATCTGGAAAGTGCTTGCTGGAGGAGGGTCGCCAGAGCGGGGACAGTGCCGGGCGGCGGGAGCTTGCTTCTGTGGGATGTGCAGGAGGAAGTCTGTGCATGGTGGCGGCACGTGGGCTCCGCTGGGACCGCAGCCCACAAACCCTCCCTCTGCACTCTGGTGCCAGAGGCCCCACAGTTCTGGTCCTCGGTGGCCGCCAGTGCCCCTCTCTCCCCGGGATCTGACAGGTGAATGCAGACAAGAGGGCACTGGAGAAAGGGCGGGGGTCACGGCCCCGATAGGAGCTCCCAGCCAGGTGTTGCCATAGAGACAGCAGGATAAGGAACGGAGGGAGGCCTGGCCACATCCCAGGACAGCACTGTCTCCTGCCACCAGGTGCTGACCCCACCTCCAGTCCCCCAGACTTGGGAGGAATTGCATCACACAGTTTGCCCTGGGTGACTAACTCATGTGAGATTAACCCCGGCCCGCACCACATCCACACCACATCCAGTGGGGAAAGCCCCCTGGGGATGGCTTCGACCCCACAGAGCTGGGGAAACAGCCTGGGGTGCCCTGGGGCCACCTCCCCTGGAGGAGGGAGTGAGAGGGTCCTGCTCCCAAGGACTCCCCAGGAACCTCAGAATTCCCTGGGAGCCTCTCAAACACTCCCACAGGTATGTATGTTCCAGGTTCCTCAGCCCCACCAGGCCCAGCGCACACTGTTAGGGGCACCTGGCCCAGTCTGCCTTCCAGCAGCATCAGGAGAGGCCCCCAGCCCAGCCTGAGCCCAGGC